ATGCGGAAGGTATTGTTTATTGTATAGTCTATAAGCTCCATGTAAATTAGAATACGATTTATGTATTTGCGTATATTTATGTATTTTTTAATTAAAAAATCAAACATTGGCCGCGTTCAGCAGACACAACTGTTGAGTTCGTCTAATCAACGCTCTGCGTTGATTGGTTGGTTCTAAAAGTAAGAGCCAATCACGTTTGACTGCTACTCAGCGGCTTGGTCTGCTGAGCGCGCCCATTGCGTCTAGCCATAAGGAGCGGAACTCACGTGACCACGTCGTCAATTGATTTAAAATAAAAATATCTGATTGGTCGGTTCAGGGGAAAACTCCAGGCATCGGAGGCTGTGAGTGGCTGTGGTCAATTGGGACGCTCCCTTCTGCTTACCAGCCCGAGTTCTGATTGGCTTCTGCTTTCCTGCTTTCTGCTATTTTGCCAAGGTGTGAATATTTCCGAAGAGCGTCGTTCTTGAACGCAGAGGGGCTAAACGCGTCCATTTATTTCTTCTGCAGGTTCTGCACCATGTATCAATCGATCTCTTCCGTCATTGGCCGCGTTCAGCAGACACAACTGTTGAGTTCGTCTTATCAACAATCTGCGTTGATTGGTTGGTTCTAAAAGTAAGAGCCAATCACGTTCGATTGCTACTAAGCGGCTTGGTCTGCTGAACGCGGCCATTATCCGTGGCCCCAGTGGCCCGTATGGACGGGCCTTCACTTCCGCCGGCTCCACCTGGAAAACGCGCTCTCATTCGCGAGCGTGTATGTATGTACATACATACATACATACGCCCGTCGTCGTCGGCTCAGTCGGCTGTTGTCGGCGCTCTCGGAGGTTATCGGCGGGAGGGGAAGAGTCCACTTCCAAAAGCGTGCATCTTCTGTCACCGCGGGAGGGAGAGAGAATCGGAGAATCAGTCCGCGAGTTCCGCTTGTACGCGCGTGTAATATAGTGGAGGTGCGCGGCGTAGGATTCGCCAGAGGTATCGACCGTCGTGTATCGATAATTCGTGAAATCAACGAGAGAAAACGTTTTCGGCGAAAGCCGTTCGAGAGAAACGAGATCAAGTCGCGAGCGAGACGGAGACGTGTCTACTGTCTACGAGAGAGAAACAGAGAGACAGAGAGACAAAAACAAACGAAGAGAAAGAGATAGAGAGCGAAAAAAGAGACCGGTGCGAACGCGGCGATGCCGCCAATGCCGCGCGGAGGGTGGCTGTTCGAATCGGCGGGGTGCGCGTTCCCAAATAAGGCGTTCCCGAACGCCTCGCGGGGGGAGCCTCGCGGCTCGCGCGTTTCTGCCGCCCCGCTATACGTGGGGTCGTCCACGCGTTGTCTTCGCGACGCGTGGCGGGAATACGAATTGTAATTTCGTCCTTCGTTCTATTGTTTTTTATCTTCCCCTTTGTCGAACGCGGTGACTAACGCACCTTGGAAAACGCCGCGTTCCGGCGTGAGATATCGCGCCGCGATAACGCGGCGGTCGGATAACGATAACCGCAGCGCTTATCGGGCTCCGAGCTCCGACGCGCTCTCGCTGGTCGGGCGAAAGCGTCGAGGAACGGGGAAACAAACGGAGAAACAAAACAATTAATTATAATTCGGAGAACCCGCCGCACGTCTTCAAATCCTTCCGACGTTATTTGTAAAGATACGGCGAGAGCCCCTCGCCCCCCGGGTTTGAGGATTCTCGCGGTCGCGAGTAGGTCAGGACGAAAGTGACACATATGCGGGCCGCGTATTATTTCGAATCGTTCGTGAATCACGCTCTCTCGCGCGCGCTCTCTTTCTCTCTCCTCTCTCTCTCTCTCTCTCTCTCTTTCTCGCTCGGGCGCGGCCGCGCGCTCGCGCGACCCGTCTATTTCGGTGAATCGAAATCATTTTTCGATGCACCATGTAAGGAGCGCGGGAAGCGCTCTCTTTCTCTCTCTATCTCTCTCTCTTCTCCTCGTCCACGATAATCGGCAAAGCCGTTCATTACGGATGCCGCGGCGGTCGCGTCGAACACGTAGATGCGCACGACGGAAGGCGACCGGAGCATTCGAAATATATTCTTATTGCGGTCGTGTCCGTTGTGTGCACGAGGGGGCAGTGAGGAAGGAAGGGAGAGAGTGGGGAATCTATTTATAAAGAGCGGGGATGTGTGTGTTCCATGCGACGCCCACGCCCGCGCGGACGCGTGTATGACGATAATTTGTTAAAATAATCGCGACAGAAGGACCGGCGCGTCGTCGTCGGGGACTCCTGACTCCTGCCTCCCGCGTGTCCGCCCGCCTCCACCCTCGCGCTCACGCCGTGCCCGTGCGTTTCGTGTTTGCAGAGCAGGTGCAGATATGTCTTTCCGCGTGGTGCGCACCAGCAAGTTCCGCCACGTGTACGGAACGTCCCTGAAGCGCGAGCAGTGCTACGACAACATCAGGGTGTCCAAGTCGTCATGGGACTCGACGTTCTGCGCCGTCAATCCCAAGTTTCTCGCCATCATCGTGGAGTCGGCGGGCGGTGGTGCCTTCATCGTCCTGCCGCACAATAAGGTGAGCTCTCCTCTCTTTTTTTTTCCTTCTCTCCTTTTTATATTTCTCTGCCTGTCCTAATTTCGTCGCCGAGTTTCTCTCGCGTTTCACTGGTCACGCAGCATTGGATTGTGCGACGGCATGTCGCGCGCGTATATATTATTGCAATGACACAGTAGTAATGGCATATAGCTTACACCAAATGACATGCTGCGATATCCGTTTCAAGTTCCTTGTCCCTGCCGTAATTGGCGAGCTGATATCTATTGTAAAACGTTTGTAGGTAGGACGAATACCGGCGGACTATCCTTTAGTAGGTGGACACAAGGGACCTGTACTGGACATCGCGTGGTGTCCCCATAATGATAATGTCATAGCTTCCGGCTCCGAGGATTGTGTCGTCAAAGTATGGCAAATACCGGACGGTGGTATCTCTAGGACATTGACCGAATCGATAGTGGACCTGCAGCTGCATCAACGCAGGGTCGGTCTAGTACTATGGCATCCCACTGCGTTAAACGTGTTGCTCACAGCTGGCTCGGACAATCTTGTTATCATTTGGAACGTCGGCACGGGGGAGGCCCTGATGCGCCTCGACTCCCATCCAGACGTGGTCTATTCCGCGTGCTGGAACTGGGACGGATCCCGATTAGTCACCACGTGCAAAGATAAAAAGATTAGAATTCTGGATCCGAGGTCGGGCGAGATATTAGAAGAAGCTATAGCGCATGAGGGAAGCAAGGCGACTCGTGCCATCTTTCTCAGGTACGTCCTTCTTACGTTACATTTTATTCTTCAGCATTTTTATTTTATCGCTTATTTCACATCGCTATATATTTGTATATCGTATAAAAAAAATTAGACTGACACAACAAGGAAGAAAGAGCAAATAGACACTATTTGGAAGACAGATTAATTTCTCAAAACTAAATTCTAATTCGCCATGAAGGACACGTAGTTTCTGAAAAAAAAAAGTTTTAAATTTTCTCCAAAACTATAGGTATATATCTTCAGTTGCGTCAGCCTCATTTCACAAATACAACATATCGCCCACACAGATTTTGTTATAATATCATTTTTTTAAATATAAATACTTATATATGTTAAATTCTTAATGTTTAAATTCTTAAATATTTAATTCGCTCCGCTTTTGGATCAAGAGACGTTTCATTCGAATGCATTATTAACATGAAAATGGCGATACATTTTTCCACGATTTCCTAACGTTTTTACACATACGTGATATAATTCAGAATGCCACATTGCCAATACTTGAATATCAAAATAACCAATTTTTATGGCTATGATTTTGTAAGAGGAAGAGTGCATTAAACTAACGAGTGAATTTGCATGAGAGAGTGTGGATGTAGATAATTACCAAACAAAAAGGGATGTGTGAATAATATTGTACAAAGTTTTCTTTACTTTTTATATTAGGTACTTGAATTTAATTAAAGATTGTCCATAATAGAATATAAAACGTGTCTGTAAAATATAATCATCAAATGGTATACATCCACCTTTTTACACAAATATATATTAGTAATAATTCAATATTGATCTATGTGTTGGTAGAAATCGTTTAGAGATGATTCTTAGATATAGCCACATTGGAGCTCTTCCTTTCCACATTGTTGTCCCCTTCCCGCCTTTTCTTTTGTGTTACCATTTTCGACTAATAACTTGACGTGACTATAATATATTCGCGTCGACATATACATGGCACTTCTCGCGCTTCTTTCCGCGAGTGTTTTATAAGACAAACATGTTTGCGTACATAAAGGTACACTTGTTTTTATCATCTTGTATTTCCGGTTTGTGTAGTGCAAGATTCTGTAATTTTTAATGGAAAGACCGCCAGACTGAATTTTCGACATGACGAAGATGCCCAACTTAATATATACGAATGTCAAGATGTGTGTGCTCTGTAATTCTCCATAGATATTGCAGTAAGTATTGTGCACCAAGTTATTAATTCAAACTGTAATTGTAAATTAGATCGCTTAAATAATTATGTAAGTTATAACAAGGAGTATCAATTCGGTAAAGACACCTTCACAAAACAGTATTATAATTATCATTTGTGAAAGAAAGGTTCGATTTGTACTTGCATAAGTTTATGCAAGCAAGTGTTGTACGTTTTGTGTATTGTAGTTGTGATATTTTTTTATAATATCCAATATGTGTCTTGTTTGTGGTAAGACAATGTTCGTGAAAGATATTTGTATAAAACATTGTGAAAGATTTTAGCTCTATGTAACAAGGTGGATGTAGTAAAAAAGTTTTGATGATTAATTTCTGTGTGTAAAAATATGACAATAAAATTACAGAGTAATGCAATGTAAATATATATTTTTACCACAATATGTGTATGTATATATTTTTATCACAATATGTGTATGTACATATATATATGTGTGTAAAAAGATTAACACACTAGATAACAAAAGGCTACTTCATTAGATACTGGTGAAATCTTCATAATCATGCATATTGATTAATTAAGTTACTTGTATTATATTTTTTCAGGGGTGGCCTGATCTTTACGACGGGTTTTAGCAAGATGTCGGAAAGGCAATATTCATTACGAGCTCCCGACATGTTGGGCGAGCCCATAGTTATGGTAGAACTAGATACGAGCAACGGAGTTATGTTCCCTCTGTATGATACCGATACAAATTTAGTATACTTATGCGGCAAGGGCGACTCTGTGATCCGATACTTCGAAATTACGCCCGAACCGCCGTTCGTTCATTACATTAGTACCTTTCAAACTCCCGATCCTCAACGAGGTATAGGAATGATGCCAAAACGGGGCTGTGACGTTAATAGCTGTGAAATAACCAGATTCTATCGATTAAATAATTCAGGGTTTTGTCAAGTAATATCAATGACAGTGCCAAGAAAGGTAAGAAAGCGTTGCGTCAGTTTGAAAATTGAAACCGAAAAATGAGAGAATCGATTCGAGGAGTATCTAACGATTGTTCCATGTAACGTTTTAGTCTGAGCTCTTCCAAGAGGATTTGTATCCCGATACTCCCGGTGACACTGCCGCGATCTCGGCGGAGGAGTGGCAAGCCGGTACTGACGCGGAGCCTGTGTTAATATCCCTCAGGGACGGTTATCAGCCTTCCGCCTCCAAGAATGAACTTAAAGTACAAAAGAAATCCAATATATTGAGTAAAGGCGCCAAGGTTGCGTCTAACGCCGCGCAAAACGCCACGGAGGTTTCGTCAGGGGTTTTCGTACGTATCCGAGGATTCCGTTCTCTCCGATCGTTTTTTCGACCAGCCCGCGAATAAAAACTATACTAAATTCTCCACGATTGCAGGAGGAATTGTTGAAGGAATGCAGAGAAGAGATAAGAAAATTGAAGGCAGTGATCGTGAAGCACGAGGGTAGGATACGAGTGCTGGAGTCGGCAGTCGCTCTTCAAATGAAGGAGGAGGAGAGGAAAGAAAGGAAAGAGAAGTCGGCTTCTCCCGACGGCAAGGAAACACTGGCTTCCGACGAAGTGTAAAGACTCCGGGCTTCGTTCTCGACTATGAAACCTCCGGCGTGACGTTGTTGTACTTCTAACGAGAATATTTTTCACTAGAATCACTAATATATCGTTTAATAAGAATGATCGTATATTTTGATATAACAAAACTTGTGTAAATAGTAGGTTTTAGCGACGCCATGTGTCCCTGACTCTCTGCAATGATCTTTGCTATTTATTGTACATCCATTCATCGTACATTCTCTGCATTTGTATTATGTTTACATGTTTTACTATTATATATATATATATATTATATATTTTACAGGCGTTATAGCCATACATGACAATGTATGTCCCTAGAGTTAAGTTTTCGATCGATATAACACACCCAGCGTACGAAACCTTTACGTATATGAACCTTTGTGCGAATGACGATTCGTAACATACGCGAGTGCCTAACTTGTACAGATATTTGCTGTTAAATAACAAAGAGTATTATTTTGTTTCAACGTGTGATTTGTACTTGTCGAGAACCTATAGTTAACTCGAATCGCTGATTAGTTCCTAGCAAAATCCAACCATATAATTTGTTGGCTCCAATCTTTTTTCATATAAAACAAATTTTATTCTATTTATATATTACAAAAATAATAGAGCTATTGACAAGTTAATCGTCAATTAAGTTGGTCGAGATCTGATTGAAGCTATCCCGAATCATCCACGCGTTCTCGACGTCGGAGTTCTAATTGATCGACGAGACTCGAGTTCGTCGATCGCTAACGAAGAGATCTGTGAAAAAAGTCCGCGGCCGATATGACAATTCGATAACGCTCTCTACCTCTCGGCGTCGGAAGCGAGACGGACGATCGCTCTTTGTACATATTCCAATTTTCCAATCGCCGTCGACGTCGAGTTGCCTTGCCGCTCGGACCGTCGGACGTCGGACCTCGGCGCTCAGTCGACTGCTCACATCGGCTGTGAGTATTCGTCGCTGCGAGTGTCTGGCGGCCAGGAGGATAATGCGCCACGCGAAATTTTAGTGTTAAACTACCTTGGTTCGGCGTGAGCAAGTGTCGCATTCCTTTAGCTCACGGTGAGTATTGTCGCCATCCATGGAAAACTAGCTCCTGATTTAAGCTCCGGTTTCCCGACTTGCTCCGCAATCCCGGATCCCGGCTAACGATGTCACACGTCGGCGACGTGACGCGACAAGCGAGTGTTCGTCTCGAACGTCCCGACTCTTCCTTGAAAGGGTTGATTCTCGCGTTCGTTCGACCTGGAGGAAGCCTGGAGACGATGCTGAGTCACGGAGGAGCCTCGGGAACGACGGGGATTGAGTAACTTGGATGATAATAAATAATGCGTTACGCGTAATGGGACGCATAGAGTGACACTTGGCACGGACCAGCCTCGCGGGTGCTATTTTAGCCGCAACCTTGCGTCATCAGTGTCATCACGCTCGGCATTGTGCTCTCGCGTTATGTGTTGTGTGCACGAACACGAATCTCAAGGCGATTGTCTGCTTGTCTCCAAGCAGGCGAGATTGACTCTCCTCCCCGAGCTCCGAGCTGGATACCGGCGAGCTTGGTTGCCATCGATTTTGCGAGTCATCGTATAGAAAGAGGGGCTTTTTATATCTTACGTGAATCATACGTTCTTCCGACAATTTTCCTTTCTTTTTTCTTTTTTTCCAGTCGGCGTGATACACGCCCGATAGGGAGATTTGAAGATCAAGATAGCGTCCCGCCAGACGGTGACCAACTGCTGATACCCGGAACCCTGTTGCACGAGACGATTACATGATTGGATCGCGTTTATCGGTCACATCCGCGTGGGCGTAACGCCGAATGTCACTTGCGCAATCCCACGTGTTTCGGTTCTCTTATCAAGGTCGTCGAACGGATCACTCGTCTCGCCGTGCTGGCGATAATAATTATAATGACGAAGCCTCAGCCTCGTGTCGCTATAAAGTATAGACACACTTCACGAGTCGATGCACAATACTTAAATTATTTATAGATCGTGTGTGTTGAATGCGCAGCGCGTTCAAGCGCAAAGTATCTCAGGTTTTTCTCGTTTTCGATACTTTTTCCTGTCAATTGTTTCGTAACTATACTTTAGAATTGTTCATTATTGTTATCGCCATTCAGAAGCTGATCCTGAGCACACGAGTGTCAGAAGATTTAAACAAGATTTTCGTTAACTTCTCATACTTTGGTACAGAGAAATGTACTTGCTCCGACATTTAACATAACAAGTATCTAGGCTCATTTAACAGCATTTAGTTCACGTTTATGTAGAAAATTGTTGATTTGTTCAAATTTTTAATCCCCAAGTCTTTCCTTTCATTTGCATCTCAGATATATATTTTTTTATTATATACCTCTTTTCTTGTGATTTCAGGTTTTCTCGAGAAAATCGAGGAGCTGCTGATAGACGATGGCGTCGCTCAGGTTGCTCGTAGCTGGAGCGAGTGCCGTGGGTGCCGGTACCCTTACCTCGTACTTCCTTTTGTCAGATAACACGGTCAGTACGCAACGTGATAGACATAACGCGATCAAAGACCCTCTGAAAGACCTGCATGCACATCCACCTCCTATTGTTACGCGTTTCATAATGCAATGTGTCTCTCAGTACGCAACGTGATAGACATAACGCGAGCAAAGGCCCTCTGAAAGACCTGCATGCACATCCACCTCCTATTGTTACGCGTTACATAATACAATCTCATTTAGATTCGACTCAATGTGATTAGTCATATATACATATACCTACGTACTTATATCTCAATTGCAGGTACACGCCGAGGTCAAGGAGGGAAAACCAAGGCCGCCTCGGAGGACTTTGCCGACACGAGAGGATCAAGTGAAGACTCTGAAATCGCAAGATTACGATGTGCTGATAATCGGAGGTGGGGCGACGGGGGCAGGATGCGCTTTGGATGCTTGCACTCGAGGTACGATCACCTTTTTCACTTGCTCAAGCTCGAATCCCCTACATCTTCCGATTCTTTTTTTCAAAGGCTTGAAAACCGCGCTGATTGAAGCCGACGACTTTGCATCCGGCACGTCGTCCCGGAGCACCAAGTTAATTCATGGCGGCGTGCGATACCTGCAGAAAGCGATCATGCAGCTGGACGTCGAGCAATACAGAATGGTGAAAGAGGCGCTTCACGAGCGTGCGTCGATGCTGCAAAGCGCGCCGCATCTGGCCCATCCGTTGCCTATTATGCTGCCGGTTTACACGTACGTTTATGGACAAAAACAAACATAAGCTTTCGATGCTGCACGTTCTTCCTCACGTTGTTATATCTCTACTACTTTCGTTAGATGGTGGAAGATTCCTTATTACTGGTTCGGCATTAAGATGTACGATCTGGTTGCGGGTAGCAAAACGGTCAAATCGTCATATTACTTGAGTAAATCAAACGCTCTGGAACTTTTTCCGATGCTGAAAGGCGACAAACTGAGCGGAGCTATTGTCTATTACGATGGTAGTCACCTTGCTATCTCTTTCTTTTCCTCTCTCTTACAATTCTTACATAGCCAAGCTAATGTATATCTATCTCTTGAATAAACATACCATTTGGTATAACAGGCCAGCAAGATGATGCTAGGATGAATCTGGCGGTCGCTCTAACAGCTTCCAGACATGGGGCAACAGTCGTAAATCACGTTAAAGTAGTCAATTTATTGAAAGGTCTCGACAGGGTAGGTATCGTAAATATTCGTGAAGATATAAAATGAGAAGATTTTGTAAAAATATCTCTGTTTTTGTTCGAGAAGGATGGGAAGCGAGTCCTTGTGGGAGCTCACCTTAAAGATGAACTCACGGGAGAGGAATGGGATGTAAAGGCCAAGGCGATAATTAATGCGACCGGCCCCTTCACCGATCATATCAGGAAGATGGACGATCAAAATGTCCAGTCTATCTGCTGTCCGTCTTCCGGCGTTCACATAGTGTTGCCTGGATATTACAGGTAAAAAAATTATGTATTACTAACATTAGTGGCATATTATTTAATTCGTTGTAATGTACCATATACCGATGCTTCTTTTGCAATATTTTTAGTCCCGACCAAATGGGTCTACTTGATCCAGCGACGAGTGACGGCCGAGTCATCTTCTTTTTGCCGTGGCAGAAGCAAACAATCGCAGGAACGACCGATTTGCCCTGCGAGGTAACGCACAATCCTCGGCCCACGGAGGACGAGATCATGTTCATTCTGCAGGAAGTGAAAAATTATCTGAACCCAGATGTCGAGGTGCGCCGCGGAGACGTTCTCTCTGCCTGGAGTGGTATTAGGCCGCTCGTTTCTGACCCGAATAAACCGAACACGCAGTCGCTCGCTAGGAATCATATTGTGCACGTTAGTTCTACGAACCTCATCACGATAGCAGGTGGCAAATGGACGACTTACCGAGCGATGGCTCAAGAAACCATTGACGCGGCCATAGACGGTATATCAAAAGGATTAATCGAGCAATCATTAAAAATCCATGTTAAAGGGGCCTATATGCAAACGTTAACGACATCATTATGTGCTTTGCGCAGATATAATATTAAATATACTACATAATAAAGAAAAGCTGCGCAAAGCACATAACGATATCGGTAGCGTGTACAGAATAGGCTCCTAAGTGTGTGTCTTGTCTTTTTCCGCTCTATATATTCTCGCACTTGTGTTATTTTTATAACGCAAAGCGTTATAAAAGAGACTCATTGATGTTCGTTTAAAGCTTGCAACCTAGAGCCAGAAAGACCTTGCCAGACTGACGGGTTTCTTCTGGAAGGCGCTCAGGGCTGGACCCCTACGATGTACATTAGATTGGTACAAGATTTCGGTCTGGAATGCGAAGTCGCGCAACATTTGTCCAAGAGCTATGGAGATCGTGCGTTTGCCGTAGCTAAAATGGCTTCGCTTACGGGAAAACGATGGCCTATTATCGGAAAGAAGATTCATCCGGAATTTCCGTACATCGACGCTGAAGTAACTGTCTCTCCGAAATGTTTAAATTTCAATGAGCACAACTGAATCTTCTCGTAAAATAAATTCTAAATGTATATTTCAGATACGTTATGGTGTGCGGGAGTATGCTAGAACCGCGATCGACATGATCGCGCGTCGATTGCGACTCGCCTTCCTCAACGTCCAAGCGGCTCAAGAGGCATTGCCAGGCATCATAGACATCATGGCCGAGGAGTTACATTGGTCCGCGGAGGAGAAAAAGAAGCAACAACGCGAGGCCAGTGAGTTTCTCGCTCAAGAAATGGGTCAGATGGTGAACCGTGCTTCCCGCGACAAGATTCCCATCAATCTCACCAAGGACGAGATTCAACTCTACATCAAGCGCTTCCGCATTATAGACAAGGACAAGAAAGGATACGTGTCTGTCAATGACATTAGGCGAGGACTAAAGGTTCGCACGTGTATTTTGATATCTCTTTCTTTGTGACATTTTCTTATCGCTTCTATCCGCTCTATCTTTGATCGTTATCTATTAATCGCCGATACGCAGGTATTAGGTATAAAACTGAACCAGGACGAGATGCACAGCTTGTTGAATGAAATTGATGTCACTTACAATGGCCAAATGGAATTACAAGACTATTTGCAGGTAAATCATCAAACATATATTTAACATACATTCTTTCTCTTCGCAGCTCTTTGGAGATAAGGAAGTACCGGGTGAAGAACTTCACGAAATTCTACGCGAAATCGACACCAATATGAACGGTCAAGTCGAATTGGATGAATATCTTCAGGTCTGTGACATTGCGCATTGTGCACACAGTCACAGTCGGATTTCTTTTCTAACACTGCTATCTTTTGTTATCCATTGTGCAGTGAGCTAGTACAGTGGATTTTCTAGAATGATATTCTCGTTTGCTTTTTAGCATGTTTACGTATGACACTGTAGTTCCTGATAATAACTTCTGAACCGATAGAGAACTTAGCAATTTGTTGTACAATGTTTGCCTTGTTTTCTTTTTTTGCATTTATATCGTATGCATTATTATAATGTAACCGCTTTATATCATTTTTCGAATATTCTTTTAACATATCTAGTTGCATTAAAAAAAACCACTCTCTCTCTCTCTCTGTCTCGCTACATGTGTGGAAATATATATCATTTTTATATACAGATGATGTCAGCTATAAAGTCTGGCCATGTGGCGTATTCACGTTTCGCGCGGATGGCTGAAATGGAAGAAGCACAACACGAGAAGGAAATGCTCAAGAAACAAATAACTGTCGAGAGATCAGGTGGAGGACTATGAAGAAATTCATCCTTACGCTGCAAAATTTTTGAATATTTTAATCTTACACTTAATTTTTTTTTCGACAAGTTTCATTTTCGCGCGTTTGTTCAAGGCTATCAATTTATTCGATTAGGTGTATCGTCGAAACGAAATAATCAAACAATATCCTGCGAAGTGAAACTCTCATGAACAATATTTAAAATAATATATTAATCTACAAATGTTTCATAGTAAATTTACAACACCGAGTTTTTTGTACGCACGTCCAATGTGCAGATTTTTATCGATGGTAGGGAGAAAATTTTTATTTTCTCTTTGACGTGCGTGTATTACTTGTGTGTAATATCTATATCTACATGTGTATATTATGTAAAAAATGCAGCACATTTGCATTCTTTCTATTTATATATACAATCACTGCTGATGTGTCACAGCTGTAATTGTATTCTGCTCTTGTTAGGAGTATACATAACGTTGGAATTTTACTATTCTAAATTGTCACATTATAGTATTTTTAGCATTACAATTGTACATTATGTATTATTTAACTCGGAGCAATTGCTCTCCTCGCCTGCACCAGAACTTAATCTTCCGCAACAGAATTGTGAATATAGCGTTACTGTAAGATATGTCTTCAGTACGTCATTTTAAAGACATTTTTGTCATCTGGTCGTTGAGACTGAGTCGGGGTGAACTACAATAGTGTATAGTGACACTTACCGTCTTTGTATCATTACTAACGTACGCTGAGATTGTACAAACTATAATAACTATATCATGAGAAATCATCTAATTTATTATCACTGTAATAAGACATACAGTGACAAGCGGATTGTCTTGTAATTTATGTCATCGTCATCATCGTATCAATAAAGCCAAATGACAAACGAGTAATTTGTAGTACTGTTTCTCCAAGTTTTTATCGAATACTGGTAACGTGCTACAAATTATATCGCAAATTGTCGATACTCACTGTGCATCTAACACTACATTGGCGTATCGAGGAAAGGAATTTCATAGGAAGAATTTAACGTCTAGCTTTTGGGATTTCAGATCGTATGTATTTGAGGTTGAAACTCTTATGTAATAAATAAGGCGAACAAGGGAGAGCTGATCACTCAAACGCAGGGACGTTCTCTATTTCTCTCGTGTGACTTTTCTGAAAGTAAACGGTAAACATTAACTCATGCAGAAATTATCAACAATCGCCAATGAAACGTTCTCGAAAAATTATAAAAAGTATCACAGCACGTGCTGGGCGAACTGTCGCTCGCGGTCGGTACACGCTGCTCGCGCTAAGTGAAAGGTGGGAGGAAAGACTAGGAGAAAGTAGGAGGTACGCGTGGTTTAGCCCCCTTTAATAGGATGGGCGTCCGTGGGTGTCCGAAGCGTTCCCGCGTACGCCCCTGCCGAACGACGCCCCGGCGAGCTGCCGGCCGATTCGATTGGCCGGCGGCGCGTGACGAGCAGTCGCGCGTACCGCGGCCGGCCAATCGGCGAGCCCGTGCCATCGCGGTGAGCGAAAGGGCGACGTTGCCGTTTCGCGCACCGCCCCATTGGCCCCCGTGTCCGTGAATATGTGCGCTCGTGCTCTCTCTCCTCCGCTGGCTCCAGTTTTTAGCCCCCGTTAGACGATTTTGTTGGTGTTTCGTTGTGCTGTTTCCACGGCGTGGATAGACGATTAAACACGGGACTCGCGCGGTGGGCGTCACACGCGTACACGTGCCGGTGAATCCATTCAACGAGACGGGTATGCGAAGCTCTTCCCCGTCACACAGTAGCGTATCTTCTGCACGCTCCGAGCTCCGCGCACTCGACGACGCGTCGGCGGCGGCGACGGCGACGGCGGCGGTGGTGGTCCGTTGAAACGGAGCGCGTCCTACGTCCGAATCGCTCGGGCTCGAGTCGCACGCGATAACGTTCCGCGAACCGCGAGACGCGCGAGTGACGCGAGTGTGAAGCACGGATTGTGTCAGGAGTGTGTAGCGTCGCTGGGACATAGTGCGCGAACACCGAGCGACGCGCGTCGCGTGGCGTGGCACGTGCGAATGTGTATGTGCGCGCGCGCGCGGGACTCACCGCAGTTAAACGCGGTATGCACCGTATGCAGAAGTGAGGACGAGCGGGATAACCGCGTCGGTGGTGAAGTCCCGTGAATGATGACGCTGCGATTGCTCGCACCGTTGACCGTTCTCGCGCGCGACGATACGTAGGTGGAACTGCTCCGCGTTGTCTGCTCGTGCCGGGGCCGGGGTCGCGTCGGCTCTCTGTGAACGCGTCACGTTTCGGCCAGGGGAGTGCATGGGACGCATATTTTGCTTTGCAGTGCTCGCGGTTCGCATAACCAACGGAAGGTATCGGGTATCGGACTAGTACGACACGAAGGCGTCGGCGTTGATATAGCGGTGGATGATGATCATGATGCGCGATATTTGCCCCTGGCGTCAGCCTGTCGTCTAGCATTGACAGGGTGAGTATCTTGGCTCCGCGAGGGCAACACGTGTTTGTTTCAATGTTAGGTGGAGTCCCGTGTGCGAAGTGGGTGGAGGCTGGCATCGCGAGTCTGCCTTCCCCGTTATCGCGGGCGCCGCCGCGAGGGCGCGAACGAGCGGCGGGCAACCGAGTGGGCGGTATGACGACACGAGGCTCACCTTGCCGTCGTGTCGGGCCTCGTGCGCGTGCCTCGTTATGAATCGGGTGGGGCGGTGGGGCAACAGGGGCGTAAGGAGGCGGTCCTCGATCGGGTTCTCGAGGCGGATGCCCGTCGCTCGTGACAGCCTTCTTTGTTCCCTCGTTGGGGAAAGAGAGAGATAGAGAGAGAGAGAGAGAGAGAAAGAGAGAGAGAGTTCGTCTTTGCTCACGCCGCTGGCACTCGATGTCAACATGCTCCAACATTCGCAAACTGCGACTCCACGGAGTCGAAAACTACTCCTTTCCTCTCTTTCAGCTTCCCCCGTTTAAATCCCCGCGGTAAATCCCAGTGCTCCGACTGAATCGCTTGGAGATTTTATCCTTTTTAGCCTATTCCCGACTTGGGATAATATTTTATTGTATTTAAACTAATTTGGATGTCACACACGCAACACACAAGTGTAATTAGTACTAAACATATTCCCTCACCTTCCTACCTCCTCCTTTCTACTTTTCAGAGATCATCTTTTACAAATTTCCGACAATGTTTATGCTAGCAATGATTCTCTGACTTGCCTGAATCTCTCTCTCTCTCTCTTTCTCTCTCTAACGTATTTTTTTATACATCTCTTTTATTCAATTATCTGAATGAGCTACTTTATAGATTTATAATTAATTATGAGTAGACAATCTTCTAACAATAATGTTTCTTTATAGGAGCTCCGTTTCCGGGACGATTCTTCTAGCTTCGGAGAGAGATTGCCAATCTAGTTATACTTGTTGCATTATGAATTCCTAGCACACTGGATTTATAAAATGGCATTAAATTTATTCCATATCTAAAAAAGAGATGTTATAAATTGTGCGTAGTATAAAACAAAATCATTCATCATGAAACGAAGTATAGATGGAAGGAATCTTTCGCAAGTAAGATGCTTATTATATTACACTAGTTTTCGTACTTTGCCTTTACAACGTTACTTCTTGAAATTGATAAACAATATCTTCTATAAGTACTGAATATCGTATATACTTATACAGACAACACGTAACTTACGATATGATATAGATTCAACTATAACGTGAAAATACATGCAGGAAAAAATAAACGCAATAATTTGTAGGACGAAATCGAAGAGCACGATCCTTTGCAATCTCAGCAGCAGCAGCAGCAAGATGAAGCGGATCAGCAACAGTTAGAGCAACAGCAGCAAACTGCTCAACCGCAGATTCGTTTTCTGAGCGCCAACGTATTGCAGCAATTGCAGCAACAGCAAGATGCTCAGCAAGCTCAGCAGCAGCAGCAGCAACCGCAAGTTATTACTCTGCAAAACTTTGTGCCTTTACAAGCTCAACAGCCGCAACATGATCAACAGAGAGCGCAAACGATCTCTGTCCAATCGCTACCTCATCAATTCCTGCAAGTATGTGAAACGAGAATAATACAATTATATGTTAGAAATATGCTACTTATTACAAATTCGTTATTCTTTCACTTGGTTTTTATTTATAAACGCACCTTTCATCTTGCAGGGTGCTCAGATTATCAGCAGTGCTCAAGCACAAGCTCTTCAACAAGCTCAGCAACAACAGCAGCAGCAGCAGCAGAGCCAGCAGCAGTCGCAACAGCAGCAGCAAGCTCAGCAACAACAAACACAGCAACAGCAGCAGCAACTGAGCTACAGTGTAATCCCACAAATGCAGACTGTTAATATAGACGGTCAGGAAGCTCTGTTCATTCCATCCTCCGCAATGTCGGCTGCAAGTGGCCATCACCAGACACAGCCGACAATGCAATTTGCTACTGCAAATGGTCAACAAATGCAACTTGCCGGACAGCAGGTTCAACTAGCGAATGGTCAAACTATTATTACGCCACAGCCAGTTAGTCTCATAAGAGCACCGAATGTCTTTCCCACTTCGATTATACAAAATATTACGGGACAAACGGTTCAATTGCCAACAGGTATGTCTTTTATTGCAATTGCTTATACGCATGCTCTTTATTGTATTGTAATAATATGTTGTGTAATTTATCTTCGTAATTAAAATATCCGTATTATTACTAAGCTTATTAATAAGCCTAAAGAGAATTTTAACATTTTAAGCAAGTAGAATAATCGAATAACGTGTATGTTATAGGTCAAAGTGTACAAGTAAGACCGCTTCAATTTCCTATGCAACATGTTCAGCAAACGGTACCTGTACAATTACCAGTCACTGCCAATAACGGGCAAACTGTTTATCAAACTGTACATCTTCCTGTCCAATCCTTGTCCAACGTTTTCAATATGCCCACGACGCAAATGATACCCCAAATTATGCAAGTAAGTTATATTCCGTATAATTAATATGATGTAGCAATTAATTTAGCACTTAATCGATGTAACAATTGATCATTTATGTACACAATCAAATATTGTAAAACGTAGTACCGATGAAATGTACATTCTGGTCGTTTCAATTCTAGCAAATACCTCAAGTGACACAGATAATTACGCCGACCGGTCAACTTCAGCAAGTGCAAATTGCTAATTTACCACAGTTGCAAAATCTTCAGGTAATATTGAATTTATCGGAATCTGATCCGCTCTCATAACGAGCTACACATCACCCCTTCAAAATAAGATTATTCTTTCTACAATTTTATCAAATGAACGTTTAATGTGTCATTGCAGAGTCAGCAAGTAACGCAAGTTGCCCATCAACAAGCGCAACAACAAGTCGTACAACAACAAACTCAACAGCAAGTGGTGCAATCTGTGCAACAGCAACAACAAGTCGCCCAGGCTCAAGTTCAACAACAGCAACAAGTGCAACAAGTGGTACAGCAGGTGATACAACAGCAACCACCATCGTCCCAACAGCAGCAGCAGCAACAGTCGCAACAGCAGCAGCTGCAACAATCCTCCACTCCATCGTCGACAGTAGCGACTTGGAGCACGACAGTTGCATCCCCTAGCAATGTTCAAGTAATATACTTCTAAATTTGCGAATACTAACATGTTAAATGATAAAGTTATTCTCTAAATTATATACCATACATTTTCTAGGTACTTGGTATAGGTGCATTGGGAAGAAACATAACGGGAAATGCTAACGTTATTACCACAAAGGATGGCCAGAAAATTGACGTGCAAACGTTATCTACTTTAACAAGGCCGCCCGAAACGGTAGAAGGTGACATCAAAGTAACTAATATCGATGCCAGTCAATTAACTAGTGGACAAGTAATACATATCCCTGCTACACAATCGGCTCAACCTACAGTGCAACCGATTACGATTACAGGTAAGTGAATTGTTACGTACAGTATTGATAAATATATTGAGAGATGATCGAACTTTTAATTTTTATATCTTCTAATACATTTCCTCGTTATAATTTATAATTTTGTAACGATTGAACTTCACTTACGTAGGAGCACAAGGGCAACAGTTAACGCTTATACCTGCGTCAGCATTAGCAAATTTAACCGCGCAGCAAGGTAATATGATGAGGAACGTGAGCAACGGAAGTATAATGCAAATTCAGCCAGCCACCGGGATGAACACGACTAACGGTTTCTTGCAATCAATACCCGTACAAAATATCCCAGGCTTAGGCAATGTGCAAGTAATATCAGCGAGCGCATTGCAGCCGGCTACGGTCCAAACGTTGCCCGCAGCCGCGGCCGCACCCATCGTCGCGACTACTCCGACCGTGCAACTCGACTCGAATGATTCTACCAAATGGCAGATTCTCCAAACTCTTCAGACACATGGAACTTTGACGACGTCTGCTACGCCCGTGTCCCATCAACAGCAAATATCGAACACTACCAGTACCGTCTCTAATAACGACACTAACGATCCTAATAAGACGCACCGTAGAAGGGTCGCGTGTACATGTCCCAATTGCGGCGACGGAGACAGGTGAGTGATGCTTCTTTCAGTCATATCAAACGAGTATTTATTCGTGACACTAATGAAAAATGGTCACGTATGTGTACATTGATACCTATATTTCTCTGCAGAAATAGAGATATAACCAGGAAACGACAGCACGTATGTCACATTGCTGGATGTAATAAGGTATATGGGAAAACGAGCCATTTACGTGCCCATTTGCGCTGGCACACTGGCGAACGACCTTTTATTTGCACTTGGATATTTTGCGGTAAAAAGTTTACCAGATCGGACGAGCTTCAAAGACATCGTAGAACTCACACCGGCGAAAAGCGTTTCCAGTGTCCGGAATGTACAAAGAAATTTATGCGATCGGATCACCTGACGAAACACATCAAAACACATACGAAGATACGAAGCACGGTAAGTACTACTCGTTCGAAACGCATCACACGCGATGCACAGTTATGTACTGAATTTTAGGAAGCTGCCACCTCGACGCAGGAAGGCTCATCTGACAGCCAATCTTCCACCGAGCAAAAAATCATTATAGCTCTACGCAAGGAAACGGACCAGTCTGATATCGTCATAACAGAGCCGATCGATTCCATGAAAAGTGAATCGTCAAATCATGTAACAAACGAATAAAAGTTCTAAGTAATAAAATCGGACAGCGATTAGCTAATTAGTATCAATATCATAACATAAATTTTATGAAGATTATGACGAATAATTATTCAGTATTAATTTCTAAAAGAAAGTTATTCGGAGACGACACTTAATTTGTGAACGAGCGAATTATATCCTAGCGCATTCTACATTGTAAAAATTAAAAAAAAGATAATATTGTTATGTGCATAACATAGTATGTAAGTGCGGTAAGTTGTAGTATGAGCATATACAAATAATTGAAATTAATTCTACATTGGTCGAGCGAATTGTCGATCTGTCTGTTCTATATAAAAATAGTATGGTGGTAAGTATATGGCAACAGTTCATACATACAATCTATTTTTTTATTGCGATTACGTGTGTATATATTATACGTATGTATATAATGTAAATCAATGTATACAATTTTTCACGAGAAAGTTTTACACTTGTAAACCATCTTTTGATATTATAAGGAGTCAAGAGATCTTTAGCTCTTCTTTTAATTTATCCAGTTATTTTAAACCGGACAGCTTCATAATATATCACACGCGAGCTATACATACATGTTTTATCTTAGGGGACTTTCATCTGAATTTTGAATCGACATTCGTGTACATACACAGATCGCAAAATCAACGTGGCCGCTTAGTGAAGTTGATTATCTTGCAATATATAATAATACGGACATTACAAAAGAAAAAGAAATTTGAACAATGCGGAGCATTGAACGATATCTAGTTAGGTATCTGGTTAGTGGTGAGACGTACGAAATTTAAGATAAATGGGAATATCATAATCATTAAAAAAACATGATTTATAAACTTCTAAATTTATATAAACAACATTTTGTAAATGGCTATCACCCTATTATATCTCAGGCTTCGTACCCTTCATCACGAAGAAATGAATGCTTTATTACTTTGCACTATTATTTTACATTTTCATTCATTTTTATTGGACTTGTTCATCTTTACCAGCACAAAAACAGACTGCGGATATATCGAAGTCTAGAAATGGGAATACATTATTATATATATATTTTCGCATAATCGCGTTTGCTGTTTTCCCGATATGAAATGCTAATAAAAGTGTTGGAGAAAAACAACGCGTTTGTATTTCACATTATATTAGTTCTCTCTCTTTATTGACGAATAAATATATCCCATAGTACTCTACTAATAAATTTACAGGCTACTATCCGCTAGAAAACATGTATAAACATCATTTAAATTCTGTATCTTTATATTATACATATATAAACGAAAAATATTCCATTTTATTTAATATAATAAACACAATCACTGCTTATTGTTGACACACTGAAAAGTATCAGGAACGTAAAGAGTTAGTGTTTAAAGGAAATACGTTTCTCCTGACAGCAACTCCATGTTGTATCTCAACGATTTAAATGTCACTACTGTTAGAGAGATAATATTCATCCTTCCATTAATTACATTCATATATTTATTTTGTAATTGAATCACAACTGTCAATTTCAAACAGAATGTAATATTGTTAAGTCTTTCTTTATCATTATACACTGGAACAAAATAATTTTAAAAAAGATCCAATCGCTCCTGAATTTTCGGACGTATCCAATAGCAAAACAAATTGTACTAAATATTGAAAATTCGCAGGTTTCACGTATAAAGTTTCGCAAGAGTGCAAAGAATCACTTTCTTGTTTCAGATACGAGTTTAAAGTAAAACTACGGTCTATTGTAGATAAACCTATAATCACCTTTTATACACATGTCGACTCTCTTGCTCTGAACTCTGCTTATTAAAAAAAGAAATTCAGTGATAGTCCTGCATATACAAAACTCAACTCTCTCTTTTTATTTTAATAATATTTAACTTGTTTTAAAACAAACATTTTATCATCGTAAACAGAAAAATGGACAACAGAATTATATGTAAATCATAAAATTTAAATGGACATTTTAGTATAGCGCGATATTATTTTTTATTATGTAAACGCATATACCAGTAGAATGCTTGCTCATCGCATATGTACAGTTAGCGCGAAAATAACTCATTTCAACTGCATATGTAATAACATCAGACAGAAGAATTTAGATACAAGTTCTAATCATATTCTTTATGCTATATCCTATTTTATGTTTATACAATGTGTGTAACTTTATCGATTGCTGCAAACTACACAATTGCGGATGCAAGGGTTTATCTCCATGAGTGCGCATATTCTTTTGAGAGATCTTTACTATAGGAGTGTATGTACATACATATATATATATGTATATATATGTACATAGATAGATATATGTATGTACATATATATGCTGCGTAGTTTTGCCACGAATGCACTTTATTCATATGCATTTACGTTATAAAAATCAGTTTCATGTGTTTTTACACACTAAGAAAATTGAATAAAGCGAATTTGTTACACACTCACGCGTCTATTCGTCGAGACTCAGATAGCCATTGTCAAGGTATAGAATACCTAAGTAGATACATATTACAAGTCAGATAATCAAAAATGAAAAAGTAATCACGTGATTGTCAATAATCCGTTCTTTATGATGTTTCAGGAGCATTTACAAGACAAAAAAAAAAGAATAAAATTTCGATATGCTTTATATTAATTCCATCAACTTTTTGATTGCTCGATTTCTCAATTCTAGCAATATGTGATATGTTCTAATTCCAAGTACATATATTTCTACGGAAAGCAATATTTTTATCTTCCGCGAACTCTCTCTCTCTCTCTCTCTCTCTTTCCATATATATATATTGCATCATGTGTCATTTGAATTTATTAGTTTGTCTTCAAATCGCAAATTTTTATGTTTATTTGTACTTCATAAGCTTATATGTATCGATGATACGTGACAATCACGTAAACTTATATGTATCTTACTGAGCCTCGGCGACGAGTAAAAATTATATTTTTACATATAAATAGCAATAGATTTGTTGATCTGTTCCGAGTTTGCTTGAATTAACACTACTCAAAATAAAACTACCCACGCATAAATAACGTCTATAAAGACTACGTAGGTTGCTTCTTCAGAGTATTTTTCTTTCTTTTTTAATTTTATTTTATTGAAATTAAATCATAAAGTAAAAAGCCCCTTTTTCGCTCTGAAATCTGACAGCGTATATAATTCGTCAGTGCCTGACACGTTTCAATAATCATTTAATCAAGTATTTATAAATATTTAATTAAATGGCATTAGTAAAGATCGTAAGATCTATTATAGTCTAACGTATGTAACGTTCTAATGTTGAATGTTAAAATTAGCGCCACAGGCAGAGACAAATGTAACAATTTGATCTACGATTTTTCTATTTCGGTCGATATTCATGTAGTACAATTTGCTGTAGAACGAAACAATTCGTTGAACTCAGCACTTTACATTGAGACAATATCAATTGATTAAGCGATAAGTGATTCGAATTTTGTAGCTGACACATCTGTAAAGAGATATATGCCTACTAAAGGCAAGAGAGTGCCAGAGAAGTGGTATCAATGTGTTAAAAATAGATATACATTCGTTAAATTACGAAATTGGATAGTTGAAAGAAAAATATCACTCTCAAATCTCACTTGAACAAGTACTGGAGCTACTCTGATGAAGTAGATGACGAAGTGGACGATGTTCGACTAATTGGCTGTCCTGTCCGGTTTGCTTCATTCGCTGCCCTGTATCACACATCATGTAATAACGCATTCAAAATACTTATGTGAATATTGTCATTTTTTACAAATAGAAAACAAAGGAAGAAACACGCGAAACAAGTCTCTAATATAGATTTTTCTATAATGACTATCGTTTCTTTTATCGCGTAAACAAAATAAAATCAAGTGTTATTAAATAGATGTTTTTAGGGGATATACATTTATATGATAAATACTTTATTACAAAACTTGCCTGAATAAAGCAGCAAAACTGGATCCGGCTAAAGTGGATCCAGCTATGTTGGCTCCAGTATCTTGGTTCGCTTCAGCTTGATTTTGATCTCCCAAGTTCTGTCTGCAAATGGGACAGGTTCCGTGCTAGAAAACGAAAGGAAAAATTATCTTGGGTCACATCTCGGTGCCGACGTATGGGCTGAGATAAAACTTGAAAATTTTTCAGCTTACTAATTCCAACCAGGGTACAATGCATGGCGCGTGATAGACATGCTGGCATGGCAACTGTCTAACAGGTTCCGATAGCTTAAAGTCTTCCCAGCAAACGGAACATTGTAGTTTACAATCTGCATAAAGCAAAAGGAAAAAAAGATTGTTCTCAGCGATTTGACAAAGTGATGATAAGTAATGTAAGTCAAACAGTTGAAGCAAAAGGTACTTCTATGTATAAAGGTATAATTGCTTAATATAACACTTAGGGACATTCTGAGTATTCTTTTAGAACTTTACCAATCACTTGAATTATTTGACATATAAGTACATTACTGTTCTGATCACCCAGATTGATAAGGATCTTTAAAAGATAACAGATGTACATAGATATTGTAAATTACACATCAATATATATCATCAGGTACTAACCAACTTGACTTTGAGTTATAGTAGTAGTAGGTATTTCATCGATCTGGTTGCGTGATAAAGGCGGTGGTCCAGTACCGTCCATTTGATTCAATAATTGGGTAACAATAGCGTCTAATCCATCGCGACCCCAAACATAATCTCCAGGATTTCCCAAGAACAGTCTAATATTGAATCTACATTATTTTGTTTTATTTTAGTTAATTACTAAACTAAAAATTAAATAAAATTGTTTATGAGTTGTACCCCCGTGGATGAACGAACTTTTTAAATATATTTAACTGTTGTCATCGCTGTTGAGAAAGCACGTTGACAGTCGCTGATAATTTAGGCACGATTTTATGAAAATGGTACATATTTATGATGTATACAAAAAAAAAAGAAAAAGAAACAAGATTAAAATATGGAAACGTAAACGATTGTAAAAAAAAAAGTATAAAAAAAAGTTGCAGTGCAATATTTTATATCGACAGAAATCGATTAACGTGTATTTATATCTCGAGAATGTGTGAATTAAAATATATAATATGCTGTAAATATCGACCCACTTATCATTTATGACAAAAATATGACGCATCTATTTACAATTATACTAATATTACAGTATTTGTCATATAAAACTTACACAGATGTAGACTGCGCATCTTGACCCACAGAGTTGCCTAGACTCGCTGCTCCCGACAGATTGAAGATAAAATCTTGTATGAAATTCTCTATAGGCACCTGTAGACTCTCTTGTCTTCTACGATTGCTACTTCGAGTAAAAAAATTTAACTATTACCTTACCAATTTTCCCATACAAATATCATGCACAAGAAACATCGATTATCAAAATAATATAGGCTGCGGTCCACTTGATGCCACAAATGCTTCGAAGCATTCCTCTTCTCCTTTCTTTCAATAAAGAAAGAAGGAGAGGAAGAACGCTTCAAAGCATTTGTAGCGTCAATTGGACCGCAGCCATAATCGGTGTAATATTTTACGTTTACCGAGAACAAAGAAAGAGAGGGGGGGGGAGAGAAAGGAAGTCAGACGCGCTATTCATCAAGTTTGATGCCAAACATTTGAACACATAGATTCATCAATCTAGCGATCTTTGGGAATTACATCGTTGTACGTGACATCGATGGATGCACGGCACGTTGGTACATGAAAGATACCTGCTGGTGCGACGTCCATCTTGAGGGGTACGAGACCAATTAGACCTTCTTCTGCTCCCAAGCACATAGTTCCCCCTGATGGCACTATTGCCTCCCCCTGATGGTTGACTGGTGCTCAACTGTTGATTGGCGTAGGTATTCGAGAGACCCATTATCATGTCTATTAGATCACGGTCACGGTCCGAGCGCTGCGAAGGCTGTATCAATTAGACATGGTGCTTACGCATTTATGCATTTCTGAGGATGATGTGTCAATAATTTCCAGCTCAATTAAATCCACTCACATTCAAGGTCAAGATGTCGATGTCCCCATCGCTCAGATCTTCGCTGTTCATATCCATGCCCGAGCTGCCCTCGTTGCTGCTGCTTTCCAGCTCTTCGATGAAGCCGCTCGCACATCGTGGACACGTGAAATTCTAATCGGAAGTGAAATGTCAGTCAGGTGAAGTCTGAGTTACGCGAGTTAGCTTGCAAAGTCTGTCCTCGACAGATTGCCTGGATATATACACGCTTGTATTAGTTTAAACATTTGCAAATTTAAACATCTACAGAATGAACATATTTCTTACGCTGCCATCTTTGTAAATAATAACAATAATAATATCGCAGTAAAATGAGACAGCAATATTTTTAAGCAAAGGACAATGGGAGAGGCAAAATAACTTGCGTATATCTTCCTTCCTTTTTAGAGCGCAGAAACAAAACAAAAAGAGTAACGTGACGCAAGAAAGAACGGACTGCTACATATTTATACGCTTAGCGAGTTTCGTGAACAAAGAGCGGTCGGACGAGAATTCCGGTCGGATCGTGGACGAGCGTACTCATTCGGCTTAATCAAAATACACCGTCCCACGAAGGGCGGGGGGAGGGGACAGGGACTCGATCGGGGAGTTCGGGGACAACGATCGCGGGAACGTGCGTAGCACGCTTTCCGGGGGGAGAGATGCGGTCGAAAGGCGTAAACCTGTCGAACGCGATTTGGCCGAACGCGGGTTTCATCGAGATCTCGGGGAATCGCGAAGCCGCTGGGAGAACGATGAACGATGCCATCGATTCTGCCCGTCCGCGCGAAGGATCGCGGCGAACATCGCTCGTCGCACGGGCACGGAGGGGGAGAAAGAGAAAGAGCGAGAGACGGGATTTCCGCACATGACACGGGGTGACAGTCGGCCCGGGACGGACGTTCCGCCGCGGCGATTCCGCGCCGGACGGCGCGGACGGGCGTCCGGGGCGCGTCGCGGCGCACTTACCGGCAGCAGACGCTCGATCTCGACGCTGCATTTGTGGCAAAAAAACCGAGACATCGGACTCCCGTCCACAACGGCCTCCGCCATGTTGTACGTGTCCCTGCGGGCTGCGTGTCGTGTCCCCTCAGCCTCAACTTCTCCAGCACTACTACTTGCCGTTGCCGCAGTTTTTCGGCTCGACTCGGCCCGACTCGGCTCGCCTCGGCTCCCCTCGGCTCCGCTCGGCTCGGCCTCGGCCACGAGGGCAACGAAACGAACTAGACTGGTGGCGTTCTTGCCGAGGACGGAACAAGGACGAACTCGATCGATTCACGGCCGCGTTCTCATTGGCCGCGCGTTTAGCAGACCAAGCCGCTGAGTAGCAGTCGAACGTGATTGGTTTTTACTTTTAGAACCAACCAATCAACGCAGAGCGTTGATGAGACGAACTCAACAGTTGCGTCTGCGAACGCGGCCATATTGGCGACATTGGCTAATTGGGAGCGAACGGCGCGATTGATCGGTCGTGGAAGCGACGTGTGACGTCACGACGCTTCTTGTCCATCTCGCTCCGCGCTCGTATCTTTGGTTTTTTGGAACGCCGGAGTGCGCCGGAGCGCCGCGTGTGTCAGGCTGCATTCGGGGAGCGCGCTATTAGCGCTATTGCATCATTCTATCTTTATCGCTCATCAAGTGTAAAACAAGGATAGAATAAGCAAATAGCGCTAATAGCGCGCTCCCCGAATCCAGCCATAGTGTCATGTGGGTCATGTGTCCACGCACGGCGCGCATGGTTTCGCGAAGGTTCGATTTGTGCTGTCATTAGCATTGTAATTAGTTATTATTAGCACTTTGGACATTCCTTACTTTCAGGAGAAACACGAAAAAGCCTTGTAAATGATATCACAACGGTGCGAAAATAATTAAGAATAAAAGTTAATAAAAGTTTGAAAGACTAATTTAGGAACCGACGAAGAACCATGTCGAATTGTACAAGTAAATATTGACATACAGTACGAATTCGTTGTCTCTCATTCTTGTATTTAATAATGAATGTCTTCCAGAGTTGTGCACGCCGCTTCCTAAAAGTCAGACTAGTCATATTAAGATCTGCGAGAACACTCAGCAGTATGTCATTGATTTTTTGCAAAACCTGTTGCCACCGTCCGACCGTAAATCTATTCCGGACGAGCTGCGAAAGGTATATAATACAATACATATAACGCAAGTGAAATATTCTTTCACTGGAAATATAATTATTGATTAACTGGGATGTTGCTTTTTTTCAGACCTTCATATTTAATAAGATTCGATCGAAGCGCAAGCAGAAAGTGGAGAGAGGCAAGTTCTTCTCCGCCAGGAAGAGATTACGCCTTGGTCTGGGCAGGGTCGGCAACAGGAATCAGATCAAGTATTCCGATCTTCTGCCCTTGAATCAATTGTGGCTGCAGTACATGCGAGAAGCGCTCGGCGTTGAATCGTTCACCAGTATACCGAAAAATCCTAGCAGTCCAAATTGGGAGAATGTAAACTTGCAGTTGATGAAAGCAGACTTCCACGGTGCCAGAATCTCCATTGATAGATCAAGATGCCCCAGTCTGGTGGGAGTCACGGGAATCGTCATACAGGATACAAGGAACACCTTTAGGGTTTGTGGGACGGACAATGTTATTCGAAGTAAGGGATATGCTAGGGTACTTTGTCAATCTTTTTTCCCATATAGATCATAACGCATATATGCATTTGCTGCTTTTATATATATTGACAATAAATTTCTTGCAAAAGCTCATACATATATACTTTTGTATTATTAATATCTTTTCAAACTGTTTTCAGCGATACCAAAGGATGTGGTTAAGATTAATATTTACTTGGATGATGGTGTGATATTAAAAGCGTTTGGAAGGGAGCTCTCTATAAGGCCTGCAGAACGAGCGGTTAAAAAATTTAAGAATAGTTCAATTATGCTGTTGTGATAAATATTTAATATAATAATATTGATAGAATTGATACCATCCCGAGATTTACAAATCAGCGCTAAATCTCAAAGAAATTGTGTTGCGAAGGAAAGTAAAAAATATGACAAAATAAATGAGTATACATAGATAATGTAATTAATGTGATTAATTCTATGGTGAACCTTTTGCTGAAATTACTTTAATTTCGTATAGATGTTAGAGTTATTTTATTTCTTTATATCTTTCAGCATTCCTTTGCAGATTATTATCGTAGGATATTACAATTACAGGATTGGTAATGTAATATTTACTACTTACATGGTACAGTATTTATATATAGTCGTATATATAATATAGCGTTATATTTATATATAATGTATGTATGTGTAAATCTCTTCGTGTCGTGTGTTCATATGGAAAGGTGTGCATAACTATTGAACAATAATGTATTCATTTTGGAAGTGTGTCCACCCATGTTCCATTAAAACCACAGTGGTCAAACATGACACTGATACAATGATAATCATTTTCAATTAGTACAACAACTATATTTGTTAATCAATCTCTACAATTTCATTGGCTAAAGTTAGATCAAAGTGAAACAGTACCAGGGCATGTTACTGACCTCCTCCCCTCTCTCTTTCTCTCTCCTCTCGACATAACGATTTTAATATGTAATATATACAGCTAGATCACTGCAAGATCAACTGTGGAGTACCAAAAAAGACGAAAGTACCGCGCGATAGAGAGGACGATAGTAAACGAGAGACGAACAAACTAACTTCGCTCCTTTACTTATTACGTAATACAAATATTTTACTTGGGCATAGTAGTAACGTGACCTGTTCGTCGGTACACACTTTCGCTCTTCGCGCGCTTTAAAATAAAGAGACTACACATAACTATAACCCGTTACATCTTGAGATGTAATAAAAAGAAAAACGAGATATCACTAATTGTAAGTGACACAAGATTACGCAGCATGGCAGCTTACATTTAGGAATGTTAAAGGATGTACTACAAAATTAATCTGTTTTTTTTTTCCTTGGTTGTTTGTCGTACTTGATACATAAATTGAGTTCTGACGTAGCACTTTATACATGCATAAATATTCCAAAAGAGAAAAGAAACACAAGTGTTTAACAAAACATGGCTCTATCGTTTTTCCAGAGATGCTGCGATCTAATTTATCTTAATACTTGCATAATTTAGGCGTAGTTCGTAACAAGCTATATAATGATTAACGATCAATAACTTCGAATAAAGACATTATGCACACACATTATAGGTGAAACGAGTAGAAAATATTACCAAAATTATGTATGGTATGAACGCATGTGACAGTGACGATCGTGCTGGACTTTGTTATCAAATTATCTTTAATGTATTCCTCGAACTCTAAGCTGTCTGTAATCATCTTCCTGCGCAATTAGTAACGAAAGGTTAAAAGCATGATACATGATGCAGTTCGGGCAAAAAAACTCGGGCAAAACTACTTTATGTACTACGGTACGTTAATGAGACAATAAGATCTCGCAATTTCGAGTATCTACAATTTATTTTAATGGATTCGTTCATTTACGCAAATCAAGCTAACTCGGCGAACACGTATCTTCGCATTATGTTCAAGCAAATGTACATACAGGATAGATCTAGAACGATGTATATATGTTGTTATAGATAACGCCAACATATCCTGAGATGCCTACAGTTTTTTCCCATCTTGATCTCGTCGTTATAATACTGATATAACGATACGCGATCTACCCCAATCTAAAAGATACTCTTATTTCAATTTTGCGAGGGCTCTGTAATTTTCACTGTGGTTTATCACACGCTAGAATGTTTCGAGGATGTATATCTCGTACGGTGCTAACATTTTTCGAAGGTTAAGAAAAAAAGAAGGAACGGACTCTTCCAAAATATGTTTTACACATGTGGTGAAAAAAATTGAAAAAAATTTCGCTCGAAAAGCAAGCACTGGATGATCTGTACAGAAACCAACAGAAACATACGATGTATACTGTAATCAACAGTTGATTTTGCTTCCGAATTACATGACATTGCCCGAAAAAGCTTGCTTTCTGTTAGTAGCCAAAAGAAAGGCACGTAGACGCACACGTATATATATATATATGTGCCAGTAAAAGACAGGGAAATTATACTTTGCTTCCACAACGCACGTATATCTTTTTACTGACTGTGCAACGATAATTTAATAGAAAAATCTCGGTAAACCGTATTTAAAAAAAAATAATAATTTTTTTGTTTCGCACTCTTTTTTTAAATAATATAATTTTCTTAATAATATGCTTTTCGCGCAAAATCCGCATTGAACAGCTATTTAAACCGTGAAATATAATTGCTTGCTCGACGTTTCCCCTATAAATTACAGATTCACATTTAGGTAGCGTGTGATAGCGTATTAATGTCATTTCGCAATGCATTTCGCTATTCGTTACACTATTATCATGATCTAAATCGTGGCAATTCATCGTTTCTAATGATATTTATTCGTATTCGCTTTGACGATATTAAGCTAACAAAACAATCTCATTCTACCTAAACTTTATAGAAAAGTAGACTTTGTTGATCTGTCTCCTTAAATGTATCTCACATACCGTAACCTTGGTAGGCTGCGGTGGACGCGTACACTTGTGCCGGTGCACCGTATACGGTTTGAGGCGCGTAGCCGGGTGCCATCATTCCTGGCCCTGCAGTCAGCATTAGCTGAGGTTCCGCTATAGCGATCATGCAACAGAAACAAATATATCAACAATGGGAAACAATGCACGGCTTCGCGCAACAATAAGACTCGCTAAAAAAACATATTAAAGAGATCACTTACGCATAATCATAGGCTTGTGTTCCTGATGATCAGTTTCTTCGATACGTCGGCTTTCGGCCTCTTCTAATTTATCGACCTATCAACATATTTAAAGATTATGAATACTCTGCCAGCGGTATAAAGGTACAAAGAAGATTTGAATGTTCTTTTACAAATATTCTTTTTTTTTTTACCTTAGTGATATATTCTCGTGCGACTTGTATAAGATACGGCATTGCGAAATGTAAAATGCGATGTCTCCATGCGAGCTCCAAGATGACGTCCGGATGAAGTAAATCGTAACAATGAAATAGGCATGCTGCGAAACAGTCCTTAGAGCCTCTCTCCAAGAACCACTCGAGTAATTCTTCGGCGACTTCAGCATTCCGGGATTCCGCCGCATATTCCATAGCATCCCTGTTATCGATTGGTGATTAATAAGATTCGCACACAAGCACTTATCATAAATGATTTAAATAACGTGAAACGTTACCTGAACAATCGATCCTTCTTGCAAAGTTCTACGGACTGCTTCCATCTGTTATTTCCCTTGTACAGATAGGCGGCGATTCTCCTGAACTCAATCAATTCATGTTTCTCAAGTTGCTGCGCTAACGCGATATTATCAAAATTATCGAACGCGTCGATCGATGTTCGAAGACCTTGGTAATCTTCTTCGTCAATCAGCAAGCCGTTTAAGGCTTCGTTAATAGCTTTGTTGTTGAGAGCTTGAACCGATCTCAAGTACGGTTTCACCAATTGCAGATGGCCGGTTCGCGTGAAATACGCCACCGATCTAGTGTGATCCATGCGCGGAGCAAGTACGAGCAATATATCGTTCAGAAGTAGGGGTTTGAATTCCACGTAAAATTGTATAGCCTTGTAGTAGAGCTCGACGTTTGCGACTTTAGTGATTACGTCTTTGAAGTGGCCCTCTCGCCAAGCTTCGGTAGGATGTTGCATCATCGCGAGGACCGCGTTGTCATATTCCTCGTACTTGTCATACAGGAACACCAGCTCGGCCCACAAATGGGCCTGTTCCGCTGCGCGTAGCACCTACAAATCAATCGTTTTCGTTAAATAACCTTAAATAAATCTGCTGCGAATTTAATTTTCATATTGATTCAAGACGGCAACCCACCTTCGGTATATTGACGCGCGACCAGAAGAGTTCCAAATGTTCCCTCATTCGTTGAGGCTTGTATTTACTATAGAGGATAGCTAGTTCGGTGAACATTCCCATGTGAGCCCGTTCTAGTCCTAAAGCAGCTTCCAAGAGGTTGATGAGCTCTTCGAAATGCCCGCGATCTTGGTAGTAATTGATCAAATCCTCGAGTTCGTCCGCGTGTACAACTATGTGGAGACCGCACATTTGAGCCAAGCGAAATTCGCCGCTGTCCACACAGGCGAAACAAACTTCCTTCCAGGTGCGCGTCGAGTTGGCTTTGCGCGCGCTATCGACGGCACCTTGAAATTCTTTCAGATGGACCAGCGTTATAGCTAGACGCGCAAAGTTCGATACATTGTTGTAAAGGAGCTTCGCAGCGTCATACATCTTATCGTCGAAACATCTATCGCCAATCTGTAAAAGGAATAATACGTTCGTAGGAATCGAGTTGCGCTCGCAAACGCGCAGGCGAACGACTTCTTACCTTCTGTATGTCGGCGTGATTAGGGCCAGATATAAATTCCTCGAGATCCGCGAGCCTGTTGGTCCGCGCGTACGCGTATATCAATTCGCTCTCGATGAAGGATTCGCGTGCTTTCTTGCGGGCCATTGCGAGATAGCGTACCAAGTCTTCCCAATGCGAAGTCCGATGCGCGGTTTCCACCACGTCCACGTACGCGGACGGATCGTCCGCTTTGATAAAGCTGTCGATTGCCTCTTTAACCAGACCTTGCTGCAGTTGAGCCCTGGCGAGCTGCGACCATACCGGCGGCTCGTTGCATCTGCGAAACAGTCCATTTAAGTAAAATGTACGAAACAAAATACGGAATATATATGCCATACCTTTCTGCAAATTCATAAGCTCTGTCCAAGTTGCCGACTTGTTCAATTAGAACCTGGATGGCCGATGTGTTGACGTCGAACTTTTTGAAGATCGCGAAAGCCTCCTCGTAAAGTTCGTTGTTAATAGCAATGTTGGCAATGTCCGGAGCGTCGTAATTGTCCAAGCGATTAATATATTCCATGACGCGCGTACGATCGGCCTTGATGGCCGTTAGTATCAAGAGATTCTGCAGGTTACGATGATCGCTGAACACGCTGCTGTCCAGTACTATCTTCTCGAGAAGCTCGATCAGCTCGTTAGGCAAGTCGGCTGTCATGAAAGCCTTGACGGTAACCGATATATCTTCGGGATCTTGCGTCTCGGATAACGCCGTCTGAACAACCTGATCGATCAACGGTCGCTTGTACGGATTGCTCTCTAACAGTACTTCCGCCCAAAGATCGGGATCTCTACGTCTCACCAAATATCTGGCCTCGCTCTTGAACAGGCTGTTCTCGTTGCACACGCTTATCAGCTCGCGGTCGCACTGGCCACGCTCGTACGCGATGCAAGCTAAATGGGGATCGCGCTTCTCACAATACTTGCCGACAACTCTACTGTCGTAGAATTGATTTTCCTTGAGAAATCTTTCGGGATTATTATTGCTGTCAATGTAAATCTTGGCCAGCGCGTTGTGCGTAGCCGGCTCCACGCAGCCCTCATGAACGCGAGATTCCAACCACGGTAGCAACAACTTGAGCCGATTTCTCTTTTCCACTTCCTCGACCAGTTCGTCGGTGGAGAATTGTCCGCGCACCACCAGGATCAGATTCTTAATGATATCTTCCGAGCAGTCAACGTCCAGTAGACCACCCACGACCACCGGGAGACGCGACGGATTTACCTTTTGAACGTATATCTCGATGTACTTTTGTAAGTTATTGCGATAAAGATAGAGAACGAGATCGTGAACGAAGTCGAATCGATCGCACACGATTATCAAAGGCAATTGATCGGACAGCTTTGCTTCCTTCAGGAAATTCTTTACGCGCTCCGGATTGTAACAGTTGCTCTCCCGACATATACGCTCTACCTCCTTGATCTGGCCAGTCTTACACGCCGCCTGGATGTACTTGAAATGTACCTCTTGATCCTGACTGAAATTCACGATAGACCCCAAAAAGTAAAACAGGCCCTCGTAAGACTTGAAACTTTCAAAGAGATCTATCAGTGCTTTAGTGGTTAATTGCTCGTGATACTTGGTCGCGATTTGTATGCAGATTTGCAAGTTCTGCCGTATGTTGGCCGTTAACATGGCTTTCAAACATTCGAGGGAGTCTTCTACGGACAAAGTGCCGAAGAAACCTACGAGCCAATCGGGCGAGAGCAGATGCGTATGTACCACCGCTCTCTTGATGTCATATAGATCTGTGTAGTGCTCGAGAGCGCGTTGCAACAGGCCAGCCTTCTCGCACAATTGCGCGACGTGAGCTCTGTCGTAATGGGTAAACATTTGATTGCCCAATATAGCGTCAGCCACTTGCGGGGCGGACATTAAATTCATCTCTAAGAGACGGGTCTGTAAGGCACCCTCGCTTGGCCGATTGTTCTTGAGCGCGTCCAGCAGGAACGCCGTACATTGCTGCACCATGTTCTGCTCCATAAATATATCGACGATCTGATTGATGTCGGCCAACGGTTCGTCGTCCTGAACCAGCATCTGCGCGAATGCCACACCCTGATCGGGATTAATCCTCATGACATTTCGCAGGAGGAATATATAGTCGGGCGTGTATGAGACTTTCTTGGCATACAAGACGATCTTCTGAAATTGGCCGGTCTCCGCGAAGCATTGGATGACCTTGTTGGGGACGTTAGCTCTCAAATAAACGCTAAGCGCCAACGTAGGATCCGCTTGCTTCACTAGATCTCCCAACTCCTCGCTGCATTCCAGTTTGTCCTCCTTCAACCACTTTTCCAGCAGCTGCTTACGTCCCTGAACCAATACCGGTCGACACAGCTCCAACGATTCGTACTTGTTCAGCTGTCCCTGATCCAGAAGAATTCCGAAATATTGTAAAAGAGGCGACGTTTGACCCTGAGTAGCAGGGACCTGTTGAAATCGTTGGATAGTCGCGGGCGTTCTGAGTATTCCTTTGGGAGCGTTAGCCGCGACCTTCGCCGCCTCCGCGTACTGACCATTCTGGAAGAGCATATTGAATTTTCTTACGAACAAATCCTCCGCGCCCGACAGATTGTTTCTCACGGCCATTCTCAGCGCCAATTCCGAATTCTGCAGCACTCCGTTGATGTACGGGATTATGTTCTCCTCGTCCACGGAGACGGACAAGACCTGACCCTTCCGATTCACTCCTATTATGCCGCCGGATGCCTCGTGCGGAGCGGTGACGAAGATCGTCTCTCCCGAGATACGATTCATAAATATACAGGTCGCGGACTCGATATCGTACATGTGTATATAACCGTATTTCGTGATTAAATATATGACGTCGTACTTGGAGCTAACTTGCATAGCGACGGGAAAATCGTTTCCGGCCTCGGGTGGAAAGAACACGTCCACCGCTTTTTTGGGGAACGGATGGTTACCGGTGGGCGGCTGGCCCACTTCGATGATGTGAAGCTTCGCGCCCTGGACCGTTCTAACGGCGAAACAGAACAGATTGCTAGCCTCCGCGTTTCCCTCCATCTTGAACTGCGCGAAGGAGGCGGCGTGTCCCTCGATCGGTTGCGAACATTTCCGTTCTACCGAGTAAAGCTGCATGGCGCCGACCACTCTGTTATGTTGCGCCGAGATACCGATCAACAACAGCCACGTCTGCTTCGGATCTGTTCTGTAATTGATAATCTGGCAGCCGTTTAACGACGAGTGACGTTCGAACATCTTATTTGGCGTCGAATCACCCTCCATGGACCAGTGATACACCGCAGTCTCCGTTACTAACGCTAGCGTGTTCAGCGATATCCATTTCCAAAAGACCACGTCTTCCGTCATTGTGTGAGCCTTCATCTTCGACTTCATCTCAATATTGAAGATCTGAAGCGTCTTCATAGCTAGTCAAATAGAAGGAAATATCTCTCTTAGTAACCCTCACGTTCTCTTCGCGCGCGTTTTCCCTAAATATTCTCACTTGTTACAAAATCACCGTCTCACACTGAGGCTCGCTTTAGGAAAAAGCGTGCAACAGATCGCAATATTGCTCTCTGAACTACGAATAAAGCAGAATCAATCTCACGAGTGTTTCTATGTCTATTTTCTACCGTTGAACGCTTTTTCCCGAAACCGCGCGCTCGCACATACGTATACGCATACCTTTGAGAGCGATGACTTTACTAGCGGGATTCATAATTGCGGAATCGGCGGATATCGGTCTTCTGATAGGATTGGCGGAATCGTTCATGTCAATGATTACTACCTGGGCGGTATCGCCAACCTTCTCCCTAACGCAAATGAATTTGTCAGACTCCATGGTGAGGGTGTTGAAGCTGACATTGCTGGCGTTGATCCCCACAGCCGTAAGCTACAAAAATAAAAGACATAGATAGCCTTGTGTCCTTCAAATTCGTGTCCTTCATTTATCTTATCAGGGATACAACACGATTTGAGTACGTGGTTTAAGGTCGGTTTAAGGTATTATTGTCAACTCTATTGACGATAAGTTTCTTATAACAATTCAAAAACATACTCTTCAACAACAGTTTGAGTTTAATGTCGGTTTCAGGCTGCACGCTACTATCAATACTCGGAAAATTGAGGGGCAGGATGTTAACGAAATTAATTTTAAAACAAAAACGACGTTTCAGCAACAATATAAATGTTATCGCAACGGCCATATGTTGCCGAAATAAAGCCTGTCTCAAGATTGCGACATGCAAAGTGCGAGTAAATAGAGCGGTTTCCATCGTCCCCGGCGACGAGTGTCTACGTGTGGACGACGTGAGATGGTGCGAAGGCATTTCTTTCCGTTTTCGATGTCCGAACGGTGACGTCGGGCTAAAGGAATGCGTGAAAAACATCCGATAAGGTGGAACGGTTTCGGCAAAAGCGGAAACGAGGGGCGTATGCGCCGACGATAGCGTCCGCTCGTCGGTGGGGAAAAAGACGAGGCAGAGCACACGAGCGGAGAGCTCCGTGCGCTCCGGATCCGTTCGTCCGTGGCACGCGATATCGCGTCAATTCCCAGACGGATAATCGACGGATAACCTGCGCCACGAAATCCGTGCCGCGAGGACTCGGCGTGGCGAGTCGGCGGAGTCGGGTGTGTAACGTCATCGGGTCTCGCGCGCGAGGAGGCAGGGGGAGGGGCAGAGAGACGTTGCAACTGTCAAAGTAACGTCAGCCCCGAAATGTTGCACTTCCGTTCCGGGGGGGGAGAGACGGGTCGGCGAGAGTAAATCGTCGATACACATCGACGGATGCTCGCGAGAGACAGTGGCAACGGAATAGGGGGGCTGGGAGAGGGAGGGAGGGAGAGAGAGAGAAAGAGAGAGAGAGATGCGGGGGCAGAGAAAATGTCCGGTGCTTCGGAGAGAAAGGCCGACGTGGTAAATGCCAAACGGCGGGCGCGCGGGGCCCCCTCCTTGCCCCCCCGGGATCCCGCGGCAGGACGACGACGACGACGTACCTGCAGGTGTTCCTGGAACCTTATGGGTAGTAGCTGCGTCATTTTCGCCTCGGTGCTCGGTGGCGAGTCGCCTTGGAGAGGTTCCCAGCCGCTGCTGACCGCCGCGTGCGGACTTGGCCCCCGTGCGAGCGCGTCTGGATCCACACCGACGTCGTCCTCTTCCCTGCTTACGGATCTCTACTCTCGGCTCCCCGGCTCCCGGTCTCTCGTCTGTCGTCGTGTGCGCGCCTCTCCGTTCCCCCCGAGATCACTCGGCATCAATTCGTCGAAGCGCGAAACCGACTGACGGCGAGCGAGGAGGTAACGTCGCTACACTCGCTACTCGCCGCTGACACCCATCATGGCCGCCAACGCCGCCCCTCTATCTCGAAATAGTTCCCGCGTATGAGGGTCCCCCGCGGGGGAAACGTCGCCGCCGCACAAAGGAACGTTCCGCCGCGCGCGCCGAGAGGTCGACGATCACGATCGTCGAGTGATAACGGGTCGTCGCCGGGCGATCTCCGTCGGCCGATCAGCGCCGACGGTCGCTCGCGATGACGTTAGCGAACAGAGAGAGAGAAAGAGAGAGAGACACGGCACGAGCGCCCCGAGCCCCGACACCAGCGGAAGAATACAAGCAACGATTTGACACGATTGGACTCGGTGGCGGATCTCTCGCGCATCACCCCCACCCCTCGCCCTCCACCTGCCACGAGTGAGACCGCAACGGCGCACGAGTGCGTAACGTACTTCCACGCAGTCGATTACGAATCATCCTCCCCCCCTCCCCCTCTTTATCCTCTTCCACGCGCGCGTTCCCTCTCTAATTAAAATACTTTTTCTCTATAAATTCCGAAGGTTATCGCGACGCCTCCGCGCGACACGAGGACGGTGATTAGGACGCAAGGCGGGGATATACAGAGGTCGGATTAAGTTTGTTTAAAAGTACGCTTTATTCTCCAGCAGTAGCATCAGCGCCGATCCCTTAAAGTCTACAAAAGTAATTAGGAAACTGCTCGCACCACTGCTACAGAATGCAGCGCGTTCGTCCCGTGTTGACAAAATAAAAAGAGAAGAAAAGTATCTTCAGTCGAACAAGCCGAAGCCCATGTCGTCGTCCTCGGATTCAGATTCCTCCTTAGCCGGTTTCTTTTCCTCTGTTAAAACAAAAATTATTCGTCTCATTCATTTGGTATCACTGTAAGGACCTTGAATATGTTTCGCTTTAAATTGCGAGTTAGAATTAGACTTTCTAGGATCAGAAGTTAAATTGACAAACCCACCTTTCTTCTCTTCAACCGGAGCCGCCGCGCCAGCGGGAGCTGCAGGGGCACCAGCGGCAGCCGCACCTCCAACTGGCATAGACGATAACTTCTCCCTGCCTGAAATCACAAAAAAAAGATATTTAATTCAGGGTGACGCATAGCTTGACTCGTAGACGACGTTCAATCTCTGCCTTTCGTCCCTTCACATGTGCTTCAAATTTTGTAAGAAATTGGATCAGAAAGTAGGAAGTCAGGAGTAAAAGAATTGCGAAGTGAAGGTAATTAATTTCAGGAGCCCACGCTTCATTCCACATGCTCAGTTCGGTTCACGCAGAGGTGGGGAATGTTTTTAGCAAGCGTTTTAAAAAACGCATCGACGTACCCTGCGTGATCAGTTCGTCTATCGATTTTCCATTCAGGTCGGTGATGACCTTCTTCAGCTTCTCGGCGTCGGCTTCGATACCCACCGACGACAGGATCTTTTCGATGTCATTCTGGCTTGGCGAGGCCTTGCCTCCCAAAGCAGCCAGCATGTAAGCGGCCACGTAACGCATTCTGCAAAACGACACATTAAAATTACATACCGATTCGGCACAGTGCAATTATTCTAAATGTTAACTGCTAATTTCAGTTAGGATATGCCATCATGGTCACTCAGTCGAAAGATGGTGAAATCGATGATCATCACGGAATAAGGTGTTCTACAAACGTGCGTGATACGTTTGTTTTGTACATACAAGAACTATAATACTATAAATATCATTCGCGTGATCGGAGCGTGACAATTAACTGTATCTGTATCTCAGAAATTGATATATATATTTATACCGGGCCATAACCTATCGCGCTTGATGCGAGAACGCGCGTTCCATCAAGTCGATTTTCCATCAAAGTGCTTTACATTACTATTTCGGAGATGCGTTACCTTTCGCGATACAGCGGACGTTGTGACTCACGGAAAAGGGAGAAGCGATATATCGTTCCCGAATCACGTTTCGAACGTTTGCACTGTCTCGCGTGGAAACGTGACGCGCGCGCGGAATCCGACAACGCGACAAGTTGCAAAGCGCGATCGAACGAGAACGCGGGATTGTCGCGAGCCGTCGATATTCGGACGACTCGAAATGCGGAATATTATTCCTCGCGGAAGCGTAACTCGGCTATACACGTACCTTTAAGTCTTAAACGACACGAAACGTGAACCCCGCCGAAACGATGCCGAAACGTGCACGAGCTGGAACCGGAAGAAAGAATCGGAGAGGACGGAGAGAAACCGGGAGAAATTGACGTGACGAAATGACGGCAGATGGAGGGACTCGCGAGTTTTCCGGTCGCGCCCTCTCGCGAACGCTCGTTTCATCGTCGATAACATAACTATCTACGTTACCGTTCCATGCTACTTACACGATTATCTGGTTCTGTTCCAGGCTGCGTCAACAAAGTGTAATGGAGCAACATATTATAAAAACAATAATAAAATTAGAATAACGAGTCTAAAAAAGACATTATAAAATGTAAAGAAATCTTCAATGTTTTTCATTTTAATAATATACGTTTGTATGCAAAACATATGCCAAATAAATATGACGCTATTGCGGTTTGACACAGAAAGATATACTTACATTTCTATAGTTTACGAATAGAAGAAGCCTCGATTAACTTTGAATTAATTTTTCTATGCAAATTATATATTTTCAATTACAGATCAAACTAGAGGTCCTCGATCGCTCCCTTCGGTTACAATCGACGGTTTTTCTTCTCTCTTTGCATTTTATATATATTTTATAAAAATATATTATAATGCAATTAGAATTAATTGAAATTGCTTAAATACGTATATAGCTTACAAAATATTTTATTAACGTGGAAGGAGATCGTGCAAGAGAGCAGAACACCAAGAGCAATTCTAAAGAGAAATGTGCATTTATTTATTTTCTTTCATCTATCTTTCATTTCTGTATATTCATCGATTTTACACACACAATATTAGTATATCGAATCTTTAACGATTAAAAAAAGAGAAACAATCACAATTATACGATACATCTATCGATATATACATATATATTTTCGACATCGTTCTACGACAAAGTTTTAATTTTACATCGATCGACTGTATGCTTGTCGGGTGAAAGAAAAAGAAAAACGTCCCTCGATCCTAATATTTAGCCGTTTCGTCGCGCATCTAACTTCGTCGCGGAGTGACGCGGAGAAACTACGAGGGAGGCAAAGATTAATATAGCGTCTACGCGAATATTTCGCGATACAATATGCGAAGAACCGAGAAATATAAGAACATATGTTTCCAGGGTATATGGGTATATCGAACACACGTTTCGCCTGAGAACCTAAGACATATATCCCTTCGTCGTTTGCGTCGCGATCGCTGGGATTAAAACAGAGCAAACGCTCTCCCGGGCCTCGAGGGTGGTTCCGTCATCGACTCCTCTTGGTCGCCCTGGTCGTTTTGCATCGACAGCTGCGTCAGCTTGCTAGTCAGCGCGGGATTCGTCTGCATCATCCGGAGTAGCACATCCGCCGACACCCTGCAATCAAGTTATTTCTCACGTCCGGTGAAATTTCCTGCGATTTTGATGATTTTGATGCCGCAACAGGAGAATCCACGCGACGGTCACCCCGACCAAACTCCGATTTAACTTAATCGACGATCAAGTAAACCAGCGAAAGAACACTTCTAATCTGATCTTTCTTTCCATTTTATATTATATAAACGAGCAATTAATAATCTGATATTGTCCACACAAAATCCTGCAGGCTCTACTCAGTAAATTAACTTAATAGCAGCTTTTGTACAATCAAAGTCGCTCCCACAACTGATGAATCATAGAATCTCTCAGACGCTTATCTTTTTCTTCTTATTCATGTCCAATAAGTTATGTATCATTATTGACGCTTTGCCTATAGCGAAACTATATACACGAAAATTCTCTCATAATTTAATTCAACGCAAAACGTTCCCAATTTCATATTCTTCTTTTACTTTATTGTTTGTAGAGTGCCAGTTGAGATACTCACGCGCGCGGGAGGTTCCTCAGAGCTGACAACAAATCTTTCTCGTGCCCGTTGAAATTCGGGGCCTCCGCGAGGCTGTCCCTCTTCCCGAACCCGATCGCCGTCGAGATGTATTCCGGTTTGAAACCGCGGATCTCCCTCAGCTTCGTCCGGTGCTTGAAGAAAGGGGGATAATTGCGGTCCTTGGACGCCGTGGTCGCTGCAATGAAGTACCCCGCGACGAACATCAACACGATCGCCAATATCGCTCGCATGATTTAATGATTTCCTGGCGCAGAAACAAAGAGACACATCGAACGCGATAATGAACATTCAGATAATGTGCGATAATGCGTAATTACGCGTATTATAATTACGCAAAGGGCGATATTTTTTTCGCACAAAGTTTGCATTCGTCGTTAATACGTTTATGATTGATCAAGCGACACATTTCTTAATTTCCAGTATGAATTTCTTACGAGATCTTGCTAGAATATGTCGGAACGTCGTGTATTGATCCGCACATACATCATCATTGCGCAGATAATCGTATCTTAATTATAATTTGTACTTACTGCGGTACGACAGAAATAGATAATGTTATACACGACATTTAGATATTATTTTTAATTTGCCTGTATCAATATATAGTGTATTAATAGAAATAAGATGATAACTTCTGTTTTCGCTTGGAACGTTCCATTACGTAGAAACAAAAGCACAATGTTAGATTTTATTAATAACAAAGAGACATAAATTGCACTGGCTAAGTGGAAATGAATGTGAAAAACAATCTTATAATGATTTCCAAATAGAGAGTAATTAAGTTTCAATGCGAAATACTTCTTGCATTTTCAAAACGTGATCCTTTTATACGAAATAATGATTTAAACGACGATCTTCTCTCGAAAAGTGCTTCACTAGATGTTCAATTCAAATTTATAAAAAATTGCAAGATGACAGTAGGGTGATAGTATTCAAACGCGACAAAAATACGTCTTGAATATGTAAATCGACACATTTCTGATTTTGGTATATTTCTTCCCGCAGGCGAGATCGAGATGTAAGTTTTAGCGATAAGCGCTGTGTGCACGTCTCGATCACAGATTTCCAATAATCCCAGAGAGAAGAACGTCGACTTGATTCGTGCATGCGTGAGCTGAGGACTGGGCTCTGTGACCATTCCATGTCGCTTTGTACGAAGCCACCGACGTCGGCGTCGACGGCGGCTAGGACGGCGTCGCCGGCGGCCGCGACGCCGACGAGGCCGCCGAGCGACCGTACTTTCTCGTTAATTTCTTTAATGCGCCCGGCAAATCGACGTTTTATCGTCGCATTGAAATCTCTGCCGATGAGATGGCCGCAATTGCCCGCGTAAGCACCTACGAAGATGCGTGCGAGCCGGAGATGCGAAACATACGTCGAAACCGCCGCCGTCGCCGTCGCCGCCGCCGTACGTGCGTCGTCTAGCCGCCGATGCGTATGCGAAATTTCCCTGCAGTATCCGACGATCCTTCTCAGGACACTTTTCGTGATGACGATGCCACGCCCACGCTTTTTACGTAATTTACATCGTGATGAGCCACGTTCGCCGTATGCGACATTTTTTTCCGATGAGAACGTTAGACCCGACTGATAATAAATTAAAAAAGCAGAGGCGTAATTAAATTGCGAGAGAACTGTAATTACCTGAGTGGCCCAATTTTCAAATTACGAGTACGAGGAACTTTTCTATACACAGTAGAAATATCGAGGCATCCCTTTGATAAAAATCCTCTTTACCTTCTCTTGTTTTATTTATACAAAAAATATATATAAGTGTTTATAATGTGTAGGAATATATGTAGTAATATATGATTTATATTTACAATATGTAATATTATTTCAGTTGAAGCATTATTTCGTCATTTTAACTAGGGAATGATCTAAAACGACGACAGGTATTTCTTTAAGGATAAGAGAGCGTGGAATGCCGGAATATTTCACAAAAAGCTCCAAGAAATGAAGATTAGTAGCTCCTTCAGTTTCCGCATCGCCTCCCGTTTTCATACTAAAAAAAAGAAGCTTCACATTAGTAATATCCATCTCAAGCGATGTTGTATTTTCGCGTCCATGACATTAAGATTATAGTAATCATTCCTACCTCTCCACGGTGACAAACGACAGGACATACGTGCAAAGATATTTCACGTAACGATTCATCACAGAAACGTGGAATTGACGGAGAATCGTTTGTATTCCTATGGCAAATACCACAGCGTCAACGGGATCCTGATATCTTTTGCTTAACAGACTTGCTATAATAAACATATAAAATATTTGTTACATATCACTTAATTTCATTACGGAATATAAAAGTACATATATAATTATACCTGTATGTTTGCAGTAGAATAATTTATTCAATTGCGACGCTGTAAATAAGAAAATGATAATAGCTATATTATCCATCTTTGGTGGCTTAATATAAACTTTATTATGCGGATCACTGATGCCAGCCCAGTCCAATCGCACGCTAAGCTCATGAAGCAATTCGCTTCTCTCCGGTTCCGTTTCATTATTGCTATCTTTTTTCGCTATCTCACATAAAATAGCCCTAAAAAGTGAAAAAAATTAGAACAGAAATCGCAAAACTAAATTAGTTTTCACGTACGTGTTTAATGTTCGAAGTGCCGCTTCCATATGTTTCGCTTCAAATTTGCACGCAGTGTTTAGCTCGTACGCAATTTTTTTCCTGAGTAATTGGTAGTGACCTATTTTCAACGTCCACTCGAGTGCCGACGACCACAGTTTGCTGCTGCTGGCGCTTATAGAATTGTGAAGTTTTGTAACGTTACCTGAGGCATACGCGATCCAATATTTTATGATAATGTTGATTATCCTCACTTTAATTGCACGTACTTTTCTAATGCGCCTTGAATTCTTACCTTTAGCGCTGTCTAAAGAATTTAAAGTGGTCTCACAATCTTCTAACAGTGATAGCCACGTTTTGTTCCGTATGCTTTTTTCTATATAATGAACCAAAGCCTCCAGTTCCATGACAACGAAGAAAGAGATAAGCTTGTCCAGCCCCGACAATCCCGGCGTGCCTATTGTTTCTAATATCACCGAGAAAACTTTGTAATTTAAGATCTCATTTTGCGTTTTAATATCATACCACGCTAGAGAATGTTCTATGTACACGGTGGTCCTGAAAAGGTGCATATGGATTAGAGATGTAGTACAATTATCTCGTAAGAGCAAAATCGAAATATAAATAACGTAATACCGGGGATCGGTGATACGAATGAGCTCTCTGGCAAGTCTACCCATGAACGTCAAGGAATTATTATCCGTCGAAAACGCATGCTTATCTTCTTGGAACTGTCTCCACGATTTTCCTGGTAACCAGGAAGAGCCTCTACGTTCTTCCTCAACCGCATTGTTTATAATATATGTAATCTAAGGATGGGTATATTTTTAGAGTAGAATGTAGAATGTACGCGCATACGAGAATATTTTTGTGCAACTTATATCTTGAGATCATATAATCATATAATTCTCTCACTTCTTCATGCCATATCTTCAAACTGTTTATGTTAATATAATCCTGAATGTATTGGAAAGATTTTCTGTATCCCTCCATAATTGAAGATAAATTATTCAGTTTTTGTAGAAGAGGTGTCTAGGGAAATGTTCACAATAATTATTAGATATATATACATATAATTTAAGAATAAATTAAAATTTTTCATTTATCAAAATTTACCTTGGATTTCTGATCAAAATTGAGGCCGTTCTGTAAAGCCAGGGTAACTTTCTTGACAAGCTCCTGACGTATACCGTCCTCTAAGAGACGATGTGAGTCAACTCTTAAAACTCCTAAAGAAACGCTTCTCAGTGACAAAACGCCCTTTGTAAAGACCGACACGGCATACGTTAATTTCGCCATCTATAAAAATATTAGTATTTTCTTTTTAATAAACGTAATTCGTATAATGAGAATTCTTAGTAAAAATACCTGTAATCTTTCAGCCAGTTGTGCATAATCTTTAAGCTTATCTTTGGGCAATTTAGTAGGAATCTCCTTAAATGAATTCGTTTCAAGATGTACTATCTCTGCTAATAAACCGAACACAGTTTCAGGTATAATTTGCAACACGCGCCTTGCATATCCTTCTAATTCTCTGCTATAATATTGGGATACCGAAGATAAATCCGCACTTCGTGCTTGGTTTACTCTCAGCAATGGAGTTTCCAATGCTGATGCCATCTAAAAATAATATAATGCGTAAAGTATGTAATGCGTGCGTCATATTATTTTTAATTGTATACGTATTTACTTTAAGGAAAAGAGCTTTTAGTTTGATGACGGTCGGCGGATTTCCCTTTATGCTCGCCTGCATTACATCGATAAAAGATTCCATAATATTCCAGGCGTAGCAACAATCGGTCACGATATTTAAACTTATCATGATATCTTCAGATATGCTGCCTGTACGCAACATATTGTGTAGAGTCTCACGTGTGTCGGCGAGATATTGTGAAATGTGTAGATTATTTTCTAATTGATGAAATTCTGGGAAGAAAATACGGTGATATTGATAGCATGATAAAATTGTTCGTATGGACCTACTTTAGATAGAATAAATATCTATCGATTCTTGTTTCTTTACCTTGAACTTGTTCCAACGCTTGTAATAATTGTACTATTTTTCGCCCGTCTTCTTGCTTTAACGAATCAATGTGTTTACTTATTTCCATAAACCATGTATAAAGATTTTGGTTTTTATCAATACCATCTAGAGATTTGGCGCCTCCAAAGATTTGTGCAAGATCAGTTATACGCTCAACACATGTCCCTTTCTCTTTCAACCATTTGGCTTCTTTTCCGAGCAGGAGCTAATGTAAAAATAAAAAATGTATCTTAATCCAAATAAATATATGTACCGTAACAAGAGTGACCAATGATTTTAAACTTACATCTTTATACATCTGTTTAACATCCTGTTCAATTTGAGCAGTGCTTAGCAATAAACGAAGACATTTTACTGTGGTATATTTGCTTTCCATCACGACCAATTGACGTAGAGTACGCGAACGTTTTGAATCTTCTAACGCTATAGTAGGCGTAGCGGTGTGCAGAAGAATCCAGTGTAACGTAACATTGCATTCTCTCACTAACTTCACTAAAGAACCTGTTGCATTTTCATCCATTGTGCCTGCCAGCTGCACCTCTTCGGTCTCTTGCGTTAATTTCTGGAATATTTTTTTTTAAACTGTAGTTTTGTATAACGAGACTATGAAAATTTGTTAAACTTTTACTTACATCCATTTTTGTTCCATATTTTTGCGCAATTCCTTTCACATTTGAATTCTCAAGTGTATTATTCAACGCTGTTCGTGCAGCTTTATATGGTGACCACCAGTCACACAGATTGATCACTGTTCCCATGTAAATACTAATTACCCAATTGTCGGGAAAGAATCTGTCTACTATTTCCCGCATAATGGCAGTTTGCGTATGCAGTACAGTTGGTTTAAATGACAAAATTATGACTAACATCGATGCTTGCGTGGCCACGGCAGTGCTACGATGCTCCGGATGTGGGAACGCAAGAGTCTGATTGTAAATCTCATCCGAACGCAACCGACCAACTACGAGATCCACCAAAAAATCTCGCAAAGGCACTCTCCTGAAAAATGTAAAAATGTATTTTTTATTATACGTATATGAAAAAAGTGATATATTATATTGTAATCTTTGAAGAGTTTAGCTATATTTTAAACTAATCAATTATATTATCCTTTCTTTTACGTTCAGATTATGTTACACACTTGAAATATTCTTCAGGATAATTAGCTGGCCTCTTGGATAACGTCCTCACATATCCCGTTGAACGGAGCAGCATACAAACATCATCCACTCTTGTCGAGGAAGACCGCTGAGCATTGTATCGATAATAGGACACGAGTAATCTTTCACGTATTAATCCTTCAAAGTGATAATCAACCAGCAATAGCATGACACCATACAAGTACACAGCTTCGCACTACACAAAAGTTTAATTGTGCTATTTTAATCCGTGCATACACTTTATATATTAATACAATCGATTCTCGAATCTGATTCTCAGCCAAGCAAATTGCTGAGTGCACATTTAGTTAGGAAAAAGGAAAATATACCATCAATTGTTTTCCTTCTTCGTTGAACATAATAGAGTCTACTGACTGATGTATATAAACTCCATCCCCCAACTCATCAATGTAAAAATTCAGGTCCGTGACATACTTGTGTATACTCTCGAAAGCCAAGTAGAACCTAGAGAGTATGTCTGAAAAGTTACTTCGGAGCTCCTCGTCGGTTTCTTGGAGTGTCTGGAAGGAACACAGACAATACGTTTATGCATTTCCCTAGTTTCCAGCAATAACACAATCTCATAAAAATTGCAGGAAGACCATTATTTACCGAGTCGTCTTCTATCTTTTGCTCATAAACACTGGCTGCCTTGAAGTATGCAAAGTCGATTATGATCGATCCGTACTTCTGTATCAGTTGCTTCGAATCCAAGCTGAAAATAAGAAACCAATTATCAAATGCAACGTTTACGTAATATTATAATTCATATAATAACAAATTTTCTACTTGTACAAACTTTACTCCATTTACATTCACATGAGATTTACAAATTACAATTAAATCATATTTGCAATACATTGTAATGAGCTAACGTCCATGTAACGTAAATATTCACCCTGTTGATTATTCAAAGAGTAGCAAGATATATCTTTTATCCAAACAAACTGACCTAAAGACCGGCGGTACGTAATCCTTCAATCGCATTAGTTCAGCAATGATAGCATTCCCACGGGATACCAGCCGCAGCAGGTTTTGCCCGCAAACGTTATTGGCCGCCAAAAAGTCGCCCATTCTTTTCTCTTTTAATTCAGGCAGATTTTAACGATCATCTCCCAAACGAAAGCTCATCAACCCTTGGCAGAACCAACGAGGAGAATGAGATTTGACATCTTTGACATCTGATCCCCTCTAACCTCTCTCAGCTGCGCACAGGAAGAGCTTCGAGGAATCCGACCTTACCGACCGTCACTCGTCTGGTCTTCCGCTTCCCGTTTCAGCCGCAATATGTCGGGAGGGCGTGCGGCGAATCTTTCGCGCGTCTGTGCGCGTGCGTGGGTCACGTGGGTGTGCGATTAGCGATTAGCGATTAGCGATAACATATGTATATAGCGTCTGATAGCGTCTCGCTACCCTCGTTGCTCTCGTTCCTCCTCGCTCGGCGTTGCTCGGCGTGCCGTCAGTGCCGTGATCAATAGTCAGTACCCTAGATCTACGATCATGCGAGGGAGTCACATGTTCCTGTAGGATGCGAGAATTACGAGATCGCCGCGAGATAACCGGTTCGTCGCGCGTCTTCGTCCCCTGATGCGACGGCGAGTTCCTACCCTCGGATTATTCGACGAGGACGAGTCTTCCCCGGCGAATGTCGCCGTGAGCCAAGCTTCTCCGCGTAAGGTTTCGCGAAACGGATTCAGGATCCCGAAAAGACTGATGTAACGCTCGCTGATCGCCGAGGTTTCTCGGTGTTGATACGACCGACTTAACGACGTCTGCCCTTGTTTAGAATGGAGGTGAGTCAGGTGAGGGCTCGTTAACACCGATACAAGAGTCAGCGGTGCGATTGTGTCACGAATCATTTGTAAACAAGACTAGTACGACTGAGGCAACAGCTGAGTTTTTAATGTTTAAACTTGTCTTTTATTTAAACCCGGATTGATTTTGGTGATTAGCTTGTGGAGTAGTATTTTGTTGACGTGAATAGATCTCATCAATTTCTTGTTGTTCAACACGTGGAAGGAAGGATTAGTATCATTAGAAATCTTGCTGCAAGTGATTCTAATTGAATGCTGATTAATAAGAGTTTGGCTGAAGTTACCTTCAGTTTCTATAGACTGAACTTTCAAAGTATCTAAAGTATTTTTTTAAGCATCTCTCTTGTCTCTCAGTTAGATATATTACATTAAAATGTAA